TTATCTTCCATTTGTCAAAGAAATATGTGGCGCCATCTATTGACGAGTTTCAGCTAGGTTTTCGGATTACATTTCCTATAAAGTATTTGGTGCCCTCCTCGAACTTCCCTGAACTTCATGTCTAGTTAATTTTTTCAACCTCTGCTGACGAGTTTTAGCCAATGTTTTGACCTTCATGAAAATGGATTTTTGGATATAAGACTATTTATTACCCGCATTTTCACCAGTTTCTTACATTTCATTTACAGTACATGTACTTTGGCTTCTGTTTAAAACTAGTTTTTCTAAGTTGGAAATGTTTGCTGCCCTTTATTGCTTGAACTTGTTTCTGAGATTACATTTTTGGCAAAGATTAATGAAGATCTGTAAGACAGCATGAAAATAATGTGTTCAAAAAACATGCGCAAGGTTTAACTTATCATCAGGATATGTAATTTTATTCAAATTACTTGAATAGAGACAAATGATGACAATCAGCAGAAAAGGGGGGAATCACTGTTTTCATGAAGAGACACCCATATGGGTCGAGTTCGGGCGGCCTTTTCTTGACACGGGTTTCTTGTTCTCACGCTCGAACGGCAGGAACACGACTCAAGAACATTGTTCTCGGAACAGGATCACACACCACCTCCTCGTCAGGGTTTTACAGGAACACATGGAAAAACTCGTGAGATTTTGATTTTTGACCAGCTGCAAAAAGTAGAGAGATGGCTTCCAAAACCATAGACAATGGGAAGTTTTTCAAAATTAACATTCATTATTTTCTGTAACACAGAAATGAATGTTCCTGTTTATATAGAAAAGAATTCGGCCCATCCAAACATTAACTCTCGAATAACATTGCCTACATGGACACCGCCATGTTGCATGTTGCTTGTCACTAACTACCAGCGATAACTGGTAGTTTGTTCCTGGCGTTCAAGCAGCCGACCCACCAACAACAAATTGAGCTGTTCGTGAACATACGGGAACAAGCCACCCGAACTCGGCCATGGATTACGAAAAAAACAGGTGTTAGGATAAGCACAATTAAGAGAAGTTTCTTCCATATTTTAAATTGCAAAAACTACAACATGTATTCTACATATATAAAACTTTATGCAGTTAAGAAACCTCTGAATGATTCTTTTAAGTGTCAACTTTTACATGGTCCCAGTAGCTAGAAAAAACACATTTGTTAATTAGCTGAAATCAATTAGTACAAATTTGATTCTCTTCCTGAAATTAAAAAATTCACACTTTCCTTCATTCTAGCCCTTCTGTTCAATTTTACCTGCAAGCCTGCATTACAAGCTCAGGCAATTGCTGCTGTAAATGTAAGATATTAATGTTTTTCTTGGTGAAACGTCAATCTCAGTTGACCTATTTTTATGCTTATCAGGGCAATATGTTTTGCACACGTACATGGGACAGGAATGTTGGTCTTCCTTCATAACGCATAGTGTAGTTATGGAGATGCCTACCCCTAACATCATAAATGTAATTTAGAAATAAATGATTTTTGCTTGTGGAAGCATGCTAAAATAGTTAAATTTGATGCTTTGAAGGAAAACTAACAAAAGTATCGAAATAATAAAAAAAGTTTTTGACATTTTCCATCTCTTAAAGAAAACAGTGGCAAAATGACTACATGTACAAACCTGAGGTTGTGGTATATTTGGACTTAAAATACTCAACACACAGCACATGGTAGACTCTATTTTTTTCTAAACATCGAAGCCTCGGTAGTCATCTGTCTTTGCATTACCAACAGAAATAATAAAACTTGGCCCGAAAGCTCTCTTGCTAGCTAGTGACATGTCAAGTAGAGCTCTTACGTCACAATAAACCATGCAGACAATTTCTAAACTCCCATGAGCTTGCAAAAATACTGTGATAATTAAAGCTAACAGTTTGAAAGCAAACACACAGAAACTATTGTAACACAGAAATCCCTGCCAGTTTGACAAGTGAAGAGTGAGTAGTTTTACAATGAGGGCATTGGATTTCAACATTTAACAGGACAGATTAAACCTGGCCTGATTCATTACTGTTTTCAAAATAACCTCGACTGCTGACTTTGATTTTATTCTAATATATCCTCCAAATCTCCAATATCAAAACTTGATACTGGCTTGTTTTCTTGCAAGCTCATCTCTCTGTCAGAATCTTCCATTACAGACAGAAAGGACTTGGGCTGCTTTTATGAGAGGAATGAAGTCCTACCTCCTTTGCTGTGGAATCTTCCATTTCTGATGCAGGGGAGAAATAGGGGCTATTCTGAGGATGAGGAGAACCCTCTACCTCAGTCTGATCATGGCTTGGATCTTGCTTTAAAAGTTCTTCTAATTGTGGCGTCCATTGCTTCCGAAACAGCTGTGATGACTGGATCCCATTTTCAACATCTACTTCGAAAATAAATGGTTCTCAGTAAAAAGTAACATTCACAGTTTTGAAAAAAAATTCATTGGTAGCAGTACTCCATTTACCAATCAAGACACCTAAGCATGCAGAACGTGCATTGATTCTGAAATGCCTGGTCTTATTCCTGTGCCATCGAAGTTCTTAGGATGTTTTGGCTGGTAAGCTGTTCCACAGATTGTAATACTATTAGCAACAATTGATTGTCTTACCTTTGCACTTATCAATAACTTTGCCCCACAAGGTGTTGGCAGACAGGATGCGTAGATTACCCACAATCAACAGGTGGTTCTTGGATCTGGTAAGGGCTACATTGGTTCTCCTAGAGAATTTAAAACAAATCAGTCAACTAAACCACCCTTAAGCCACCCATTTCTCAACCATGAATTCAGCATTCCAGCTTGTGCCTACTGCTTAAATGAAATGAAAAGACAGTTAATCTGGCTACTGATTTGGGGACGTACTGATGTACAGTTGCAATGATGGGGAAACATGTTAAACCGGAATCATGGAAGCAAGTAAGGATTTACAAAATTGTGAGTTTGCAGCAACTAGTTTTCCTTCTTCAGAAAAATACCTCAATAACGAACACCCTTGGATCCAAGATTTTTAGCAGCCCAAGTAAATCCTCGCTAAAGCTAAAGGCCACAAAATGTCAACTTGATGCTTCACAGGATAACTTGGCATCCTTACTTGTCTGAATCTGCAAATCCCATGTAGTCAGTCCGCACACAAGACAAGATGATAACTCCTTTTTCACCTCCTTGAAAAGCATCCACTGTAGATATCTGAATAGCTTTCAAGCTTTTTCGTATGCTCAACCTGGAGAATAATGGATAAAAGACTTTGTTGACCAAATTTACCAACCAATATTGAGGAAATCTATCACATGTGGCTGAATCAATAGCAGTCAATGACAGACCCATAAATGTCTCACAGTCTTAACAATTTTGATTTGTCAACAGTATGGTCTGGTTTGAGTGAACAACTTAATCAAGGCCAGCACTCCAGCCACAAATTTGCCCTTTCCTTTTTCTACACGGAGGTAGGAGAGAGGCTTCTTACTTGCTTGCCTGCAGTAGGATGTTAATCTGGGCTGTCTGCGCCTTATACAGTGTAATCACACCTATGTCTGCTGACTGGACACCAAGTAGGACCAATGTTTCAATCAGAAAGACAACAAACGATGCCTCCTGCTCGTTGTAGTAGCTACCATCATTAGCACCGCATTCTTTCCCACTGGAGACACTATAAAAACACAGTGTTGGCAGGGGCTGTGCAAATAAAAACAAGTAGCATTGTGAAGGAACATCTGGGTTCTAATGATTCATATTAGCCCTACAGCTCTGGGCTAACTGACTGTCTTCATCAGCTTGCTGAAATTAACTTTGACCAATGCAATCACCTGTAACTAATAGTATGAAGATAACAGAATTTTCTCTTGTTTCACTGTATTAGTTGATGGCATGTGTATAGAACTTGTGCTATTATGTCTAAAAAGCCAATGGTCACAAACACAAATCACACTTATGACATCCAGGAACAGTGCACTACATTAAAAGAAAAAATCTGCAACCTGATATTGATATTTTGGAATTGTAAGAAATGCTAAAGTGTGTACCATGGACTGAGTAACTCTGACAGGGAATAAAAGGGACAGTAGCAGTTCCAACTAGCTTAAACCAGATTACTAAAAAAAAATAAAGCAACAGGTGTTAAATACTAACAGCGAGTGGGAGTCTATCCCGAGTTGTCACACCATCAATGAGTTGCTGCTCATAGAATAAGCTGTTAGCTATGGCACTGATAGTGGGATGACATCGGTACTGAGTACGTAGCAATATCGGCTTACAGCCCTGTGACAAGTGAAACAAGTCTTACAAAGTTCATTTTTATTCATACAGTGAACGACAAAAATTAACAGCGATGAAACTTGAACTTGGTATCGTAGAAATGCATTAGCATAAGATTTTGTAGCGATTGCTCCTTCTCCTTGGTCCTACTGATTTGATTTAAGTTCTTCCTTAAACTGGGATCTTGTATCTCAAATCACTTGATGTTCGAACTAAATACCTCCTGAATACCCTTTAAGTTCCCATACAATATGGGTGTCCTAATTTCTCAATATCTTTGCTTTTGTGTGCTGTTCCAATAGCACCTTGAAAAGATACTTCTTTGGTTCAGTAAAGATAACTGAATCAAGAAGGGATTTATAACTGAACCTTTAATATCTGAGCCATCAACCCTACAGCTTCTTTCAGCCAATGTTCTAGGGTCATAGTGAAAAGCTCACCAAGAGAATCAATCTGTCAAACAGTGTCTGCTCTAAACCACAGCCGTGAGTAGCCTCAGAGCCTTGAATTGTTGGATCAAGTTGCTTAGGATCACCAACTAAGACAAGATTCTCACACTGGAACCTGGTGATGGGAAGGAGAGAGGAGGGTTCGGTCATCTGACTGCACTCATCAAGGAGGACAACCTGTGAGTTACAAGGAGACGATAGAAGACAGTGTACATCATTAAACAATCATCTGAATCTCATGATGGCTGGATTTGAACAAAATACTTCAACTGTGTTTATCTAATACAACAAATTGGCCATGCACATTTGTACTAGAGGCAAGTATACTTCAACTCATATGCACAGACAGATGGACAAAAATATAGATCATCTACTCACAGGAAACTTAAGGTTGTTCATACAAGGGAAGGTTGATGCAGCACAGGTGACACCAACTACCTTGACACTACCCAGGAGATCCCTGTTTCTACCAAGACGTTGTCTCTCGATGCTTCTCTTGACCTGATGTTTCTCAGTGGGAGTCAGGTCCGTCTTAAGCATCTCATACAGCTCTCTGATCTCCTGACTGTCTTTACTATCTGAGGCGTGAACACTTAAGGGATGGAGAACAAAAGTGATCAATAACTTGGATCCCTACCTTTCAGAATGGGTCAAGAATACACTGCACCATAATTTCAAAGTACAGTGAAGGGAAATTTGTGGGTATTTTTGAACTATTCTTACAGAAATTTCAACAACTTCCTTACTTTTAAAAAGGCCTGATATCAACAAATCATATTTTACAGGTACGTAAAAGAACCTCATTTAAATCAAATTGATTTTTTCAATCAAGTCAAAATTAAACCAATTTACGACCCAAAACAACTAGAGTCTGGACGGTACAAGGTCAGAATGGCTGGGGCTTTGATAATATCAAGGGGCTGACTCTACCTGTATGGCAACACTGGCTTGGCAATTTTCTTCACACTTCCAACTCGAATGAAATCCTCAAAACCAAGATCCAATAATCTGCCAGAAAAGGACATGAGAATACAATTAAGTTAACTTCCCTTCTATTCTCCAAAACGTACAATTTACAGCAACAGAATATTACACTTAATTTTATGCCTTAAGTAGTATAAATGCAAAGAACTGCAATTAACAATCCATAGCACTTCTGTAAAATACTCAGGTGAAGTCCTCCCAAGTATAGATGCAATAGTTTTTGTGCACAATATGTTGAACACTGGTTATGCTCAATCTGAGCAATTAGTGTGCAATAATCCATGCATGCACTAAACCTGTCCCTTCTCAGTTTAATCAACTGCTGGCTTACATACCCTGACAGAATCCTATCCACTGCCACATTGGTGGTAGAAGCAATGAGGAGTTTCCATGGCAACTGCAGAGCAGAATTACCTGGATAGTGAGCATCATTGAGCTCAAAGAGCTGGATGAGAAGCAGGACGGTGACAGCGAGGAGAAAGCTCTTACCAGCACCAAAGACACCTTTTGGGGTGATGATTGTGTAAGGTTTATTGGACACAGCTGGTTTTAAGAGTACATTGTTCCAGACTAGGAAAAATTTCCAAATTTTAATTAGGAATACAACCTTGTGAGAAATCCACGCTATCATCTTGACGAACTATTTGAGAAAAATCTGTAAATATACACACAACTTGACATCCCTTTGAAGGGAAGTGACTGTCATTGTCGTATCAAGCCTTGGCCATGAAGAGCATTCCTTTGGAATTACCACCTCTACAGTGATGAAATATGAAACTTTTCAGTCAATATTATGCACTGGATACAAAATAAACTCAGACTCACCGTGGATAAGTGTGATAGGTTTTGGGCTGGCTTTGTCATTGCTTGCTTGTTGAAACATTGCAGTCACCTTTCTTAAAGCTTCTGCCTGGTCTGTGTTCAACTCGTACTTCTCAATCATGCCTGCTGTTATCTGTTCCTGTCATGGGCAACGATTAGTAACCTCTTTGTTATAAGCCCTCAGGTTTCAGAGGCTGAGACAGATACCTCAGTAATTCTTGATCCAATTATGATATCACTTTGTTCTGTGCACCACTTCAGAAAACTTCAAAAAGGAACATTTACTGAAACAATTTCAGTAATCATCATTTTGATTCTTGAAATTTATGGAATTAATCATCGGCTAGCTTTGCATGAGATTGGGCTCAACCCTTCCACACCTTGAAAAAGAAGTTCAGCATAAGGTTATGAAAACTGTATTAAACTTACAATCTCCTGCGAAGAGCAGTTCAGGTTCCTGCTAGTGCGGAAACCTTGAGCAGGAGGTCTAAAGGTTGATATTCTGGACTGGGTATTAGAGAAGACCTCATCAGACCTTGGAGGTTAGGTAGTGAAGGATGGCAAGATGTTAATAGAATATTTACCATGTTGGGGAAGTCTCAGGCAATTAGAACTATCAGAACTACCTGGATATATATTTGACACACTTCAAACGATTGATAGAAGACTGAGGAAATTAGAATTATTGCCTAATATGCATTCAATGCAGAGTCCATACATTATACACATTGCAAACTGTTTCAAACTCCTAGTGATAACAAATATTATTATTTACATCAACTTGGACCTGACCATAAGATAGACAATTCCTTAGTTGTATAGTCTCCAAGTTTTCTCACCTGCTTCCAAGAAGGTATGGTAAAATGGGGACTGTCCCAGCATTGACAAACTCCTGGATATTGTTGAGACAAGTCATCTCAGAACTTGCATTGCAAGCAAGTAGAGCATGTACAGTGCCTGAGAAAAGAATGAAGAATGAAAACTGGGTTGACCACCAAGGTTTACAAATCAATGCAGTGCCCGCTCAACTTTTGTGAGTGGTCTATATATTTTCTTTAACTTATAAAGTGCATACACGGCTCTTTCAACTTATAATCCACATAAAGAATTGGAAAGGTGTGTGATATGTAGAAACACTTACATGATGATGCCCAGTTGGACGTGGAATATCCTGCAAGAGGCTCAATCTCTACATCACTGTTGGAGGATGGTCCATGGTAGACACTCCTGGCCAGGAATGTTGACCTTGAGTCAAAGGCTAGGTCCTTAGAGATGACCCAGATGTCCTCTACATGACATAGAAAAAAAATTTGCTGAGATATGAATTTTATTCCAACCAAGAAGTGTTGTACATGTAATCAAGACCATCACAAGCACAACAGTGAACAAGGACTAGAGAGTGATCTGTTGCAGATCATTTGAACAGTATCTGACATGAATTTGGGCTGGAGGTCATGTTAGTCTTGTGATGGTCTTGTCGGTTCTGGTGATGGTCGGACAAGGTTTCAACTACAACACTGCAATCAAGGCCCTATTTTAAAGGTGGTTTAATACACCTGTTGCCTATGTTTTATATACTGACTCTGTAATCAAGGTCCTGTTTTGAAGGCGGTTTACTACACCTGTTGCCTGCATACCCTGTAGTAGTAAATATTAATACCAATACTTCTAAAGGAGGGCTGATCACAGCCATTTCCATTCTTCCTCGCAATAACCTTTGCCATACATAGAAGACAACTCCTTTCTCGACAGTCTCAGGTATAGCTTCTTCTTGGTGTTTTCCAACATCTGCTGTTTGTGTTTTCTGATCCATGCCTAAAAAATAGCAAAACCACATCTGTTAAACAGCAATTAATCTGGGGGGAACAACCTCTCTTCTATGAGAGAGCAACAATTCATTAAAAATACAGTACCAGTTTCAAAGGTACACTGTGCCCCATCGGTTTCAGACACGCAAATATCTACACTCTTGCATACTTACAGGTGCACCAGGCATCAGATTATTGTAGCTGGCTCTCCTCTGAAGCTCACAACCATAGTAAAGATGAACTTTATGGCTCTTGAAGTACATGGTGGCAGCAGTCGAAGTTGTCAAGGAGGTTCTGCTTGAACCCACGGACGTGGAATTAGCATTGGAGCTATTACCCTTGAACTTGTCGGCCCACATGAAGAACTACCACAATAACAAAGGTCGGGATTTCAAAAAAATTTGTCTTTCAGCTGTGTTTATCTCCAAATTTGCTTAAGATGCAAGTTTCAATTCAACATACATCTTTGGAAAAGAGATGCCTGCTATGTAATGATCAGTCAAAGTACTCTGAAATGGTTTTCAATCCGCCATGTTTATGACAATTACAGAATGGAAGTATTGATAAAGCAAAGTAAAAAAAAAAATCGCAAGGATGCTCACCTTGCACTGATTGGCCCTCTGGGCACTACACGCATAAAAGAACCTCCCCTTATTAGCTCCATCCTTCTTCACACACACCATCTTGGCTGGGTTGCCATGATCGCATCGAGGTGAAGTGGTGTCGCCAGACTGTTCATCAGATTGTTGCAGTGAGGAGTCTAGATAATGCACATCAGCTTTATCTTTGGCTGAATGGTATCTCTGGCTCAACTCAAACAGAATGATATTCAGATGTTCTGAGTGGATAATTGAAAAGAAATCACAAAGAAAACAAAGTTTACTTTCTTCATGAGAAAAATTCTGAGACATAGAGGAATTCATTTCATACAAAAATTAAAAGAAATACCACTATTGAGAGCACACAGTTGTAACATTACAAGATAACATCTTGTTTCAAATATATAAATTTGACACTCAGACAAGACAATCATCTTGGTGTACCTTTAATAGCTGATGTAAAAACTTGCTTGTAATGAGCAACGGATGAGAAAGAGGCAGGGATTTGTACTTGACGTTGGAGAGATACACCACCTTGGACTTCATCAAAAGATGGGAAGAACAATTCACCACATCTGCTCCTCTTCAAGGAAACAAAGAAAAGTTGTCATCATTGCAATGAGATATGAGTCTTTCTGAGGTTGTGTAATAAAAAAATCTTATTTTCATTTTTAACTTTGAAAGGCAAAGATTTCAAAATCTCCCAGTTGTCAACCTAACATGGGTAAAAATAAAATGGCAACAAAGTTTATCATGGCATTTTCATGAGTAATTGAAAGATGAAAATAGTATTCAAGAAAAATATTTGGCAAAAAAAATTGAAATAATTAGAAACAACAGCAAACTAATATCCCTAAAAGTCTGTAAAAGGTTCTTACCCCTGAAGACAGAGCAGTTTGTCCTGTAACTTTAATGACTGGATTCAGGAAGCCTTTTCTTCTTCTTGTATGTGAAGTAAATGGGTTGTCAACAGCCCCATCTGCTGGTTTGATATCTGTGAATAATATACCTGAAAATGCATCTATTGGCAAATGCAACATCTCTGGAATGTAGTAAAAAACCTTCCTACAAGATAGAGTGCAGTCAACTGATCTCAACTATTCCTGTCTATCAACAACTCATCTCAACATCTCATGTGTCACCTACAGACCGGTGCTTTAACTACCCATCAAATGTGATTTCGCATTTTCATTTTAAGTGGACCACCAACAACTGACCCCTAGCACAACTGACCTTAGCCAGACCTAAGAAACAAGAAGAATCTTATGCTGATGCAAAGGCATTAACATAAGGTTTACTGGTGCAAGACAGCTTTGTTGACAGAGAATGTAACCCTAATCAAAGAATACTGAGAAGACTGGGAAAAAATATGAGATTCATAAGTTTTACTTCTTGATAAAGACTTTAAGGTTGGTTCAGCAGACTTGTTTCACTTTTGTTGAAAGAGGGCAAGCAACTGGCGCAGTAATGTTGTCTGGACATACATGTACCATGAACACCAGGTGGACTTTGTTGGCAATGATGACCTGCGATTGTTTCAATTCTCACCTCCAGTCCCAGAAAGGGGATCATCACAAGTAGGATCGAATGTCTTGTGAAATAGTGCCAGTGTTTCAACAAATTCACATCTTCTTGGCATAAACCTGGAAGCTTCAGTTTGAGGCAAACCCTCAAAGTCTGCTCTTAAGTTGATGGGGGCATCTTTATTCATGGCAAGGGAGGCATCCTTTGGTAGTGCTGATAAAAATGAGTTGTATGTTGTGTTGTGATGAAGGAAATCATCTTAGGTCCACTGGTGATAGCTCCATGTTGGGCATTCTTTAAAGCAAGAATCATCTATTTCAGCACTCGATTCAGGTGTGGGATGCAGACAAGACCCAAAGTCTTTCCCCCCAACAATGGCCAAACTAGGATGCGATGACTGTCCATCTTGATTGAACCTACATGTAGTTGTACTTATCTGAGGAGCATCCTTCATAAGACCAGTCAATGGAATATCTTCTTCCTGCATCAGATAAGGAAAGTAGTTGGTGTGGATGGACACAGATGTACACGTCGAGTCCTCCCTCCTTGCTCTAGCTTGGAAAATTGTTGGGAGTTCAAGTCTTCTCCGAACTGTCCCACTTGATACTGGGTTGTACCAATAATAGTCTCTCTTCTTTTTGGTATCCTAGTGAGAAACCAGATGACAGATTTAGTTTTGGACTAATTTAAGTACTGCTGGCAGCAATGATTAAATAGTGCCATATTGAATCGTGTGTAATATTCTCTGATAAGGGAAAACTTGTCATAACCATAAATGGTTGCCAATTTTCGGTTGAAGATTTTGCATGCATTTTGTTACATTATCATTATATGATTTAAATTCATGGTCTTATTCAAATTTACATGTACTTATAGAAATAAATCATAAAGCCACTGATGACAAAAGTGAAACTTTAGCCCAATTTTTTCTCTCTTAACTTTCACAAAATAAACAGTCAAAAGGGAAAATTATTAAGTGAAAATTATTTGTGGAGTTCCCTTGACAAACTTTTTTTAAGGTATGATACCTTGCCCGTAGATCTTGAAATAGTTCCTTCACAGGAGATGCTGGCATCATCAATCCCACTCCTCTGAAGATGAGGCATGCATGAATCTTCAGCCTGACAGAACTGCATCCAGGCTGGAAGCCCCCCTTCATCTGCATCATATGATGGAAGATCTGTAAAATGGATCAATATTACCAAGAATTACATCAGTCACTCAAGCAGTAATGTAAAGTCTCAACATTTTGATTGAAAAATGACTTTATAATGAGGGATTTATTTGCATCCATAACTAATCCCTGTACTAAAGTTTATAGTGTACAGTACATGTATACATGTAGCTTGAAGAAAATCTGCAGTTTTGATCAGACTGTCTGCATATTTGAAAGAAATATGACATCGTAAAACTTATCATGTACAGTATAGGGTATCAATGAATCAATGAGTACATGTACTGTACAAGGGCAAGTTCCATCAAAAGGTAACCAGGATTGCGTTTTTCACTATTTTTCTGATCTCAAACGTCTGCCTCCACAAGGCACTATCTGACCACTCAGCAATGCGTTCATTAGTTAATACCACCCCTACGACTGAATGGAAAAAAAGTAACACTTACAACTCTCCTGCTTGTGAAATTGTAAACTTGAAACAGAATCCTTGTCAGGCATCCGCATGACCCAGTCACTGTCCCGTTTCCTTGAATGAAGACTGTAAAATGCAGCGGAGCTGTCCTTCTCCATAGTAAATGCATCTGGTTGCTGATCAAGTCTTGCATCCAATTCAGCATACTGTTGGCTGTCGCCTGGAAACATTGGCCAACATCTTGGGGAAAAGGGTGTCACTTGAACAGATGTACTTGCTTTCCACTGTTCCAGCATATCATCACTACTTCCAGAATTTTCACCAGATTGGGAGACAGACACTCCCAGTGATCTTACTATGCATGTGTCTAAACCTACATTTTGACATTCTTGGTCAATACATGTATTTCTTGCATCATAAATCCACGTCTTTTTTGCTCTTCCTGGACTTTCAGACCAACGATCAAAGCCTGCAGGCTGAGTAAAATGTACTCCCACCCTTCCTGTAAACTCTTCTTCAGATCTTTCCATCTCCACTGAAGAATGCTGTGACCAGTTATCATTGTCTTCTTCACATTTCTTGTTTGATTCGAAAACATTTCTCCATCTGTTCCTTTCATGTTTTTTCAGCAACTGATTTGTATCTTCTGAGTGATCTTGGGATGTTCTGCACATATCTTGTGTCCAACTTGAAAGATGACAAGCCTTTAAATTGCACTTCAGTGATGGTGTTTCAGGTAGAAACTCATAACAGTTCTGGGAAGATGACCTGAGGACAGGTGGTTGCTCCCAAATAAGATTCTCTGATTTCTCTAGACTGCCATGAAATCCACTGGAAGTATCACCACATGGTGTGCTCCCCATCCTCATTTCACCAACAGCTGGATTCATCACTGTCGGAAAATCAAACCGATGAATTTGCACTTTATGGGACACTGTTTTTTGCTTGCATCTCTTTGCAACTCCTTTCCACTTTTCTGGAACATACCAAGGTAAATCAGAACTCTGGTTGAATGATGGATTATCAGTACATCTTGACTGATTAGTCAACATCATATCATTGCCCAAGGTTTGTTCCTTGGATGTACATGTACGTGGGAGAAATTTTGTATTTCTGGTGTCTGAGTCACTGGTTTCTGGGTGCTGTAAACTAAAAGAAATGTGGCCAAGTTTTCCTGTAACATCTTTCAATGTATTACACTTGCTCTGTGATAATGCACTCTCTTCAGGTAATATCTCTGGATGGATGACTGGAACACAATGCTCTTCAGTGACTGTGTTCTGAATGTTTGTATTTGAATTATTAATGTTCTGAGAAAAGGTCATTTCTTGGAAAATGTGGGAATTCTGTAAACCTTCATGCTCACTGCCAGTAACATTTGGTAGTAACATTCCAATCTGTGGCACAACACTGTCTGAGACATCCTCTTCAGCCCTTGTGAAGGGCTCTATACTCCTTAGCCAGTCTTCTAGAGAGTCCTCATTGTTGAAAGTTGATGCTTTCACATCTTTGAATTGTGTTTGAGTGGTCTCAATTGGAGGGGAGCATTCATAAGTCAGGACAGATTCTTGACATTTTCTCGGACATTCCTCAATGAATCTCATTTGCATTTGCCTGACTGGAACACTTTCCATCTGAGTATTTCTTGAGATCACCTTCTGCTCTCTGGAATCAAGACACTCAAACTCATCTCTAGGAAACTGTCCAATAGCATGGGCAGCTATCGACTGAGCAAGCACACCAACCTCAGTGTCAGATATGGTTTTGTTGGATTCACCGTTACTGCACCAAGGGGCAAGATCAAAAGAAGACATCCAAGAAGTTCCTTCCTCCATCTTTCTTTGTTGGGTCTTCCACTGCACAGAGGTCACCTCTGTTACTTTATCTTCCACCAATGGACCATACTCTTGATCAAGTTTCGTGATGTCAGGGGTCTGAGGTGTTGACTTCCAAGATGATTCAAATTCAACTTCAATCTGATTGGCGCACTCCATGCACATACATGTATTCTGTGAACTGCATAACGCAGCACTACAAAGAGTGCAGATTTGATGTACACTGGTGCTCCTATCATCCATGCCTGCCTCTTTACTTGTAAGTATGTGTGTACATGTACTTGTTTCAGATGCACACCATTCTGATTTTTCAATGACATTCTTCAGGAGTTTTTCATCATCATGATGGGTAGAATCAAGTAACATCAACTGTCTCCTGTCTGCCTCATCCTTGGAACTGATTGTAATGATAACCACATCACTGGTCACACCCTTCTTGTTTCTTCCAACATTACTCTCTTCATCTTGTTTTCCATCATCCAAAGAACTACAGTCCCCTTGAACTTCAGTAACTTCCTGCATTGTTTCATTTTCATTTCTCTCATCCTTGTTCCCATCACATTGATTTAAGTTTTCCTCATATTTGTTAAACTCATCTCTTTGTGTCCTATTTTCCTTAAGGCTAACATCATACTCCCAATTACCATGGTTTCTACCACTCTCATTCTTACCATCCTCAATCTTGTTTACCTGGTTGAAATCCTCCCGACCTCTAATGGCTACTTTTCTTTCACAAGTTTCATCCTCATTAAAGCCATCCTGATTCATATTACCATAGAAACTATCATTGTTACAACTACCTCTTGACTTTGTATTTCTCTGGTCTTCACTGCATAAGTTTCCTTCATCTTGGTTGCAACTATCAGATTTCCTATTACCATGGGAACCAATGTTCTCAACAGATTTTCCCTGATTCTCTATGTCTGTTTTATCCTGGTTGCCACTACCATGGTAACTCTCATCATGAACAGCATTTGTGTGGCTTTCACTGTCATTGCTAATATCCCAGAAATGGCCATTCTGCTTCCCATTACCATGGTAACTGCCATCTTCACAATTACACTCCTGGGCAATATCTTCATAATTCTCACTGTGTAAGTCTCCATCCTGGTTACAAATATCCTCAGTTCTATCTCGGTATGTATCTACATGTAGCTCATTCCTATGGGCTTTGTTTCTTTCAACCTGACTAAAGCTATCCAGCCTCCTGTTCTTACTGTCCAAATTGCTTTCACTATGTTTCCTATCCTCTTGCTTTCTTCTACTCTGATTACAGTCATTATCCTTGTTTGTATCTTGGTTTGTATTTCCCTGGCTTCTTGAGCTTCTTTCTTCCTGATTAACATTATCCTGTATCTCATCGCCCTGAGCTTGTTCCTCATAGTTCTGATTCTCCTTCTCCTTCATAATTCTGACTTTATGATGAGAACCTAAGTCATGATCTTGATCAAGGCTTTCCTGTTCAAAACTGTTCATGATGATAGTGGAGCTACTTTGTTGTGCAATCCCACCAACTGTTTGCAAAAAAGTTGCATTCCTGGCTTAAGTAAATAGCCCAATAACAGTTCCACTAAAACTGTTAAGTTCAATCAAGCATTATGAATACGGTGAATATGATAATTTGAAAATATATGTAAAGACAAACATTTTGAGACAACTCAGTCTGTTAGTTACTCACCTTCCTCACCTGATGTTTTGCGTCGCTGGATATCAGTTAAGTCTTCCAGTCCTGGTTCATTTGTCATGCTTTCAGGATGCTCCAGTCGTTCCACTGAAATGGAAGCAGTTTCAACTTGTGCCATCTCAGTTTCATATTGTCTGTGAAAAGTTCTCGGTGATCCATAATCAGAAATACTGTTTGTGGGATCTTTGAGTGTATTACTTGATGAACAGGTAGGAGTCATTGAAGAGTCTGCAGCTGACTGTCCCAACAGTGTCATAACATCTACGTCTTTAGAAAATTCTGGTGAATACAAGCTTTTAAGAGGTTCCGTCACTTGGACAGGAATGTGTGGTGAAACTGCATCTTTGATGTCAGTGGCTAAACTGGACAAGGTTTCAGGAACCAGTTCCCTTTCTGATATAGCATTTGGCTGTTTGATGGGTGGCTTAAATTTGGCATATCTTTTTCCAAGAAGTGCAAGGATCTGTGAAGTACTTCGCCTTTCTGCTGCAAGTGGTGACTGTTTGGTGTTCAGGTCACCGTATACCTTCGAAGAATTTTCCTTCAAGGAGATATACCCATTTCCATGCAATGATTGTTCATCTGAATGGCTTGCAAAGTGATGGTTGATTTCACAGTCTTCACTGAAAGCAAGGTTATTTTCCTTTTGTTGTTCAAACTCAAACTTATCTGGGTGCATTCTTTTATTCTCTCTAAACTGAAGATGGGATTGTTTGTTCTTCAAAGGAGAGTTATCAGAAAGTTCATCACTGTGGCACAAGTACACATTTGTTGTGCTGACATTAGCTGTATCAGGGGCACTTGAGAGGTCCATTTTGGGTGTTATAGGTGGACCAAATCCATCACCATTTGAGAAACTGACTGTGGTCTGATTGTCATGAAAAACTGTCCCACTGTGGTCCAAAGACTGCTCACACAGGCTAACACTGCTTTCATACACATTGAGAAAATTTGTCTTGAAGTTTTTTAATTCCCTTGCTCCTGCGAAAGGTGTGCTGAACAGGGAAGGTTTCTGGATGGAATTCTTAGAGTGAAGTTTTTCTGGTTGTTCAACAGCAGAGAACGGGGGTGGTGTGGCTAGTGTGGAAGTCAAGTTTCCATCCTCCGTTACTAACTTTTTGGATGCTTGTCTTGGAACCATGAAACCCTGTTAAACCAAATTAACAACACAAAATCTGAAGATCGTGATATATTAATCACAATCAAATTAAAATATGAAAATAAAGATATGATACATTAAAAAAACAATAAATCCATTTAACTTATGTCAATAACTAAATGCAGAGAGCACTCTTGCAACTGACTCTTCTTTTCCTTTTCAAGGACATCCTTTTCTGTCTTCCAAACATTGGTTGATGTCCTTCTTCTTGTTGTTTCTGTTTTTGTTGCTGTTCTGCAGGAACCTCATGGCTGAAAACAGTATCACGTACAGCTTTCTCTTCTTCCACTGCGATCAAATATCGGTCACTTTCAAGTTCTTCTCCAACCAAAACCTTGGAATTGAAAAGTGAAGGAAAAGACAACTTAAGCTTTAAGGCACATTTCTCTTGTTTTATCAAGTACGTTTACATAAACCTACATGTACATGCTCACTAAGAGCAACAGTGCTTTGGGACATTTCAAATCTAATTTTCACTACTTTGGAAAAGTATATGTACTGTACTTACCTGATGAGGTTTGACATATACAGCATCAAGTTTAGAGCCTTTCTCATCAAACAAAATGGCCCTTGTACCCTGAGCACTGATCTTTAACAATCCATCCTGCCACGTCTTGCTCTTTTTAGTCTTCTGATGGGTGTACAGAACCTGTCATTAATTATGGAGGCAAAGTTTCTTCAAATAAACAGACCATTCCACTCCATAGCAATGCACATGTTCACAACTAGTAGTTTTTTCAACTTGCCATTCTGGTTTTGATATCTTCAAATTAAAAGACATTATTCTGGGGTGTGCCTGGGCAGTTTTGGGATATATGAAAGGTGAATAAAGAATCCCCTGAATATTTCTTGTAAAAAATTCATGTTAACTGCTGGAAGTTGAAATTAAATTAAACCTCACTCATTCGTACACCAAGTCTATGCTTTACCGTACCACTGGCTACACCTCATGGGTTTGTTTATCCAATTTCTATCTCGCATTCCCTTGTGCGCCTCAAACTCCGATCTAGCTTATAGGTTGAACAACCTCTGAACTGACTGACAATAACATGAAAATTGAAAGACTAGGCCTACATCTCATGCAGCCATCTGCAACCGTTGACATGGCTGACCGTTGTGCCTTATCTGTGTTCAGTGCAATCTTGAAAGTTGCACAAATTCTGAGTTGATTTCCATCAGGACAGAGTAAAATAAATTTGCGCAGTGTCAAGACTGCGCTTATAACATGTATAAACCATTTGTTTGACTGGGTACAAGCATGACAAGACCACGCTCAAGACAACAGCCATGATCTGTATCTGTGACATTGCAGACACCAATTCTGGCTTTAGGTTTAATGCAACAGAGAGAGAGGGTAGGTTACTAGGATGTTGCTATGTAGAGTGACTGAGTGGGGCCTGTGACTAAGGAGGTTTTAAACTTCTCACATGTCTCAACAGAGTAAAGATGTAGTTGAGGTACATGTACTGTCATGACTGTACTGTCTATATAGGACCAGTAAATGATTTACATGTTGTAGCCCCACGACTGGCACGGACTCTCACTCCCGATCCATCCTTAGTGGGGCTATATACATGTAGGGGCCTAGGCCTTACGACGTACATGTACATGATGTAGGCCTTAAAATTCACTTGATTAGAAATTAGCGTTAAACAGGAATAAAATAACAACTGTGAAACGAATGCATAAACTTCTTACACTGTAGTTTCTCCTTGTGTCACTCGCCATCGTTCTGTGCTTCCCGAAAGGGATAAGTAACAAAATACCAACTTAACCTGTTAGCGATGTACAGCCCAGACGTTTCTGTCAGTCTGTGTTTAATTTTTCAACTAGCGCGCCACGCGTGCACTGTCATTGCCATCATCTCGCTTGTCTGCCCTACTTTTTAGGTATGCATTGTGGGTAAGTAAACTATAGATTAGACTTGATACGTGTCCTTTGCAACAATGAAGAGCCACTGTAGATTCAAATACAATGTACAAAATCTGGAGAATTCCCCAGACCCTCCAACAAACAATAAACGCAAACACGCAATACGCTTGTATGCCATGGCACTTGAAAAATACACATGTATATAGTTTGAGAAAAATATGAACAGAGTAAGAAACCAAAATATCAACAACTAAACATTTCACTCTAGGCATTGCCCAGTTCTTGTACTTTGAAAGAGCTCTAATTTTTAAAGTTGACAACGATGCTCTTCTTCCCAGTCTTCCACCTGTCCTACTTTCTATCTCATTGACCATGTTAACAAAACAAAATACCGACAACAATATACCGTTCACATTAAACCCTGTCCTGGTTTATTCAACTGTGCAGTGTTCACAAGCTCAATATGATCAACGCAATGCATTGAACAGTGTCGGGTTGTACTAGTGCAGTTCCGGACACTTTTTAAAATTAATTTCAAGACAAAATCTGTAACTTTTACAATTTAGTTTGGATGGTTAAAGTAGCAGAGTATCCACAGAAAAAAATCACAAAGACAGCAGACTGGAAGTTAGAAATGAAACACTGTACTTCTTTGCCACCTTAATTTGGCCTCCGTCAGAATTGATCACAAAGGTGACAATGCTTGCATATCCAGCATAATGGGTTTCCCGTCTACATTAGTTGATGCCACTCCAAGCCAATCGGAACACTGTGTTCAACGGTATTGCCAGGATATTTGGGGGAGGCGCAAACCATTTTCCCAGGGGGAGGGGGAATTTTCAGGCATGGCCAAAGCACTCATCAGCTACGAAATGACAAATCATTAACAGTGGAGTCAATTTTTAGGGTTATTTTAAAGCAAATGGGATCTTCATCCCTTTGCATATTTTTTGTTATTTCTATAGTTGACTTCTTACTGCTGTTCCTGTAATTCTTATTTTGTCCAGAGGGCAAGTGCTCCTTTCCCCCTTTTGAAGCCTATGGTTCTACCTCTTTGCCACCATAATTTGTCCTTTGACAAATCAAGAAAGTCATTCCCTATTTCTAGAACTTTGGAGTAGTAATGCCATTCCAAGCCAAAGTTTGAAGAGACAAATCACATTTAGACAAAATGTATTGGAAAATTAACAACTTCTCTAGTTGCATACGGTACTACTGCACCACACTATCTTGAACTAATATAAGTTTTTCAATTAGTTTAAAGTGAATTTTTACAAAATATACAAAGCAAAATCTATAGTTAGCTGGATCTGTAAATATTTGTGCATATTGTCAATGTGTTAAAACGATTATCTTGATGACTCAGCTCACAACAGCTTAAGATAAGCATACAACTACAAAAGTTAATATAATCAAAGTATTTTTAAACACTGGTTTTAGTGCAGTAGCAATAGTTTATAATGCAAGAACAGACTGTGTACAGTGATGAGCACTTTAAACGTGAGTTTGCAGTTTTACAAAACATTTTTTTCTGGATACTGTGAGTACCAACATGCAACAACATGTCACATAAGACATTTCCAATATAAGATTGATTAAGTTTATTTTTCAAACAAATCTAAAGATGCATGATACAAACGTTCTAAAATGTTTCTTAAAATTGACAGCAACAAAAGTGTTAATTGAAGTACATATTTAAACAAATACATTCTGGATTATCTAAGTTGACAATTTTGAAGTGACACTGGGATTGAACAAAAGTTGAGAGACGTCCCTAGCTTGGAGTTCAGCCTTGCAAAGCTCACAGTCTGTAGTTAAGTGGTGCCTGATACTGTCTCATAATTCTTGGTAGATTAGGTGGCATATTGACAGGAAGTTGTGGGCGGGGCCTAGAGCTGACTCCTCTGATGTCTACGCTTACACCCTGCATACGAAGCCTAGATAGACTCCGCTCAGTGATGTTTCGACAATCTCGCACCTTCAGGGTTTTAAGATTAGGACATTTCTGTGCAAGTTTGCTGTACGGAAAAGAAAGCAAATTCAATTTTAAGTAGGTTAAAAAACTTTTCATTAACGCAGGGATTGTAGTGTATTTGTTAACACACATATATGTACAGTACCTCTATTTTATCAAAAGAGTACAAATACTATACAAAGTTGACTCTATTTCGCCAAATTGAATTAACTCAATAAGATCATGTACTGATTCAACTAGAAATACTCACTGGATAGCAGCGTCGGGCACTCGCCAACATCCCTCTAAATCAAGATACTCAAGATAATAACAGTTCATAGCTAACTGTTCGATGGACACCTGCGTAATGCCATATATCCTGGCCAATGACAACCAGCGTAGATTGGGCTGTAACGAAGCTAACATGAAGACAGTGTCATCAGTTAACTCCCAGCATCCTGTTAGATCAACACGTTCAAGATTCTTACACTTCATAGTCAGGCCTTCAATCACTGAGGATGAAATCCAATGGCATTCTCGTAAGAGAATCGTCCTAAGTTCTGGACAAGCTCCTCCAATCATATTTATCGTTAAACATGATAAACCTGAACACCCTGACAGGTCGATATACCGAAGACGCCAGTTCCTCTTAATGATGGGTACCAGCAATGCATCAGTAAGCCAACTCTTACAACTTGTCACCACCAGTTTCTGCAGGTTCTTCGTGTCATTTGTGGCTATCTTGAATGCATCCACAGTTACTCGATGGGTAATGCCAGTAAGATCAAAGCTAATCTGATGCTGGAAGTAAGACTGGACCAAGTCACAGAAGTCTCTACTCAAGGAGCGGAGACGGAAGATGTCAATGATGCTAAGATGAGGAAGGATGCGGGAAATCAAGACATCCTCCCAGGGAAGATCAATCAGATTAATGCTACAGGACCTTGAAAAATGGAAAAAAAATTTAATATAACTTGGGTGTCTTTCAGTTTAGGCACTGGTTACAGTCAGCTTTTTGACAGTTTTACGCTTGGCTGATAATTTTATAAACACAATAAAAGTCAAAAAACACATAAATGTATTAGTTAAAAATTCATGCACAAATCTGTTACAAATTAATCAGCTATTTGACCTGATTTTATTGAGTAAACAATTACTATCAACGACAAACTCAAATCAAGCCATTCAGACTGTTTGGTAGAGAAATTGGTGGACTTTCTAAACTACTGAACTGAATGGTCATCAATGCTGCATGATTAGCTTTATTTCTGGGTACATATATACAACAGCAGCATCCCGAGCAACTACTTAGATAAATCTTTGCCATCATTTCAAAAACCAAAACTCACATGTTTGGATCATTGTTGTCAACAGCTGATGTGGCCCCAGTATTCACCTTCTCTGACATATTCAAAATTAATCCACTCTCGAACTTTAAGTAGATATTTAAATTTCACTTGACAACATAGTGTGTCACATCACACATGTATCACACTGTCACATCAATCCTCACCTGCAAAAAAGAAAATTATATTTCAATGAGTGGTTGATTTTTAATCCTTAATTAACTGCACTTTCATCACATGTTCAGAACAAATGCATGAAATGTCAGCAACGAAGGCCTTGCACTACAGTTGAACCTCAGTGACGAGAGATCCTTTGGATTCTGCAGAGTACTCTGATTGTAAGAAGTACCTTGTAAGATCAGAAATCACATTTCTAGGGACCTGAAATTTCCTGATTACAAGCAGAATGTTGAGTTTACAGTGCTCTTATTATTGAGGTTCAAGTCAGGGATTGACTGCACTGTACACAAATGAATGGATCTTATGAAGGACTGGATAGTTCGATTCATAGGATCATCGGTTATCAATGTCACACACCATCTTACATGTCTTAAAGGATAGTGGAGAAAAAATTATGAAAATTGCTTTCATGCTTTTCTGCCAAATGAAGTACTGTTGAAATGTAGAGTTTCTACACTTGTGTCACATGCTAAATTGAACAATCCCCACCATCTCTTCTCTTTACTGGTAAGGAGGGGGGTACTTTGGTGCAGAGCAGAGTGGACAACTCCATACGCCTGATACCAGATACGGGCCCATTCATCTTCCATGGCCATGACACTCACACATTGCTGTCAAAAGGGCAACTTGGTGACTTGTTGCGGCAAATGTCTGTGTCATTAGTTGTGTGTAAGTCAAAATTTATGCCAACAAACATGACAAGTTGAGATGAATAAAGTAATAATATGTAAACAGTCAGTATCATACAATCAACATGATCAAACTACAAAGTGTTTCAAAAGTCTCTCATTTAATTGTGACACGTGATTATCCGAAAACTGAGGGCCCGCGGTAACAAGCCGCTGCATGCCGTGCTGTACCCGCGCCGAGCAGGAGTCCGGCAGGCAGAGCACCCTTCAGGTCGTTAACATGCAGGACATGGCGGTCATCATGCATGATCAGAGAAAAAAGTATGCTTTTGAGATAATTGTGCAAGGAAACCATGTCATTCTTTCAAACTACGTCCATACTAACACTAAGTTTGTTATATGACATGAACATATCACAAACAGAAGGCAAAATATGTGCAATATGATAAAACCAGGAAAGAATGAAATAGTCTCACATTTGACATCGGCGCACACGTCTGGCCTGACCCGTCCCTGACATGTTTATTTCCAGTTGACGAGGGAGGGCGCACTGTACAATTTACAAACGTGCAAGTAATGTTATGCGATAATAATAAAGGCATCAACACGACTTTTGTTGAGCAGCAACTCGGTTTCTACCTTCACGTGAGTAAATTCGTCAAATATTGTAAATTTTTAACACTTTTTTAACGACAGCCTGTGCTGTTGTTCTTATTTTTTAGGAGTTTACTTTAACTTAAGCACGTTAAGAACGATATTTCTTCATGTTTTTCTTCCTCGTCACGTCATTTTTACAATATTGTTGTTGTTAGTGTTACGCCCCAACAAGGCTATAGCATCTTTCCCAACTATAGCTGGGACAATCCCAACTGTGGTGACTACAGTTGGGCTGGTCCAACTATTGTTGACCATATCCAAGTTTATGCATCTCACACTTGACACAATGGCACTTCATTCATGACATGACATTGTAATAATGTAAACAATATGACTTTGGCATATGGGCTGCCGGAAAAATGCACACTGGACCTCTGTGCTGTAGTTGGGCTGGCCCATAGCACTCTAGTTGGGATGGGTCCAACTACAGTTGGGACGGTGCTGTAGTTGGGGCATAACATTATCAATAGCCCAGCAGGCCTGCAGTGTCTCAAGATTCTAGGCCTATCTCTGTAAACGAAAGCCTGAGTCAGCGTGAGTATGATTCATCGAACCGTTAATTGCAAATTTATTGTACTGCCTTCTGATCTTATGAATGGATGTTATTCAAAGGCAAATCATCTTAGGACATGTAGGATGGAATATATGATCAATTTGCACAAGGTTCAAGATTTATACACTCAATAATCCTGTTATCCCTGGTTGTTGCTGACTGTAGCTCCCATAGGTCTTGACATTTTTGTTGGTGTGGCCAGCATGCTGCAGGAAAACAAATGTACATGTAGGCTTATAACAGGTCAACACTGACTATACTGAGATTGACTGACAAACGTGACTTTACTAATGGGTCATGCTATAAATTAGGGGTCCAATCTTTTGGTGTCCCTGTCCCGTCTGGAATATATGATTTTGCAGGCCTAAGTTCAGAACATATTTTCTAATTTCCAAGAGTGATGAATTAATGCAAATTACCTGTCAAACAAATAGAAATAGTTTGAAATCAGTGCCAGTGATATTTCCATGTCAAATTACATAGGTCATTTGTAACAGGGACACAGAATGCCACAATTTTGGCCCTGAATTTAAAGAATGACCCTGATATAAATATTATGATATATTTCATGTCTGTAAAGGTGTGACCTCTTTGACTTATTTTGAACAAAAGTCCAGTTTACCGATAGTTACTTGAGATGGCCTCAGCACCTCATGATAGTTTACTGAGCATTGGCATAACACAAAGACCTGATCAGTTGAATGACTCTAACACAAGAAAGCTGGATTCATCATCATCAATTCCATGCAGTCTGCATAGTCCAACCGGCATGTTTGGTACAGGAGCAACAACAATGACCAAGGAAGACAGAGAAAAAGCGCAAGATAGAGTAAGTTATAACACTACCCTTCATCTTTGATCATAAGATGTATCAGTTCTGGTGCAAACTAATTTTCCAGAGTTTGAAAACTTGAAATCAGTTTATTATAATAGGCTAGGGCCTAACATCTAAAGCTCAGCCACTGCATTGGCTCAATTTCCATGCACCTTGGGTTTGCTTCTGAATTTTGCTTGAACATTTTGCGTTTCACAACTGAACTGGTAATTATGACTTCAGCTGTAAGAATTTTTCCTTGAAATATCTTTGTTCAGATTCTTCTAGAACCCTATGCTTACATCCTGCAAGTTCCTGGCAAGAAGATTCGCATCAAGCTGACCAAGGTACACAATACTTTTCCAAAGACTCTATTCAGATGTTGTGTAAATCCCTTATTCTGTTTCTGAAGTTCCACGTAATCATTTACCATTATACATTACCACTGTCCGACCACTAATCTATTGATGTTTCTTCAATGTTCTGTTATCATCCTGATGGTCATATTACTTTTTTTCTGTGCAGGCTTTCAACCATTGGTTGCAGATTCCTGATGACACATTGGACAAAGTCAGTGAAATTACTCAGATGCTGCATAATGCAAGTTTATTGTAAGTTGCAGTTTGATCTATAAATTGTAAAATAATCTGTCATTGTTAGCAAATAGTTATGCTGTGTAATATTTTATTGTTATTCCTTCCAATAGACAGTTTTGACAATGCAAAGCTGTCAGTTTACATTGTTTTTCATTGTCGCAGAAAATGAACAAATCCTCAGCCAAATCAATTACACAGTTTAACCTATCTTGAAGAATATTGTATTTGGACATTAATTAAAATGTTCCATAGAAGAAATTCAGAATTCTTTTTGATTTCCAGAATTGACGATATTGAAGACAACTCCAAGCTACGACGAGGCATTCCTGTTGCCCACAGCATATTTGGTACAGCACAGACCATCAATGCAGCAAACTATGTGTACTTTCTAGGACTACAGAAGACTATCGAGTTAGGTCACCCAAAGGCTACTACAATATTTATGGGTAAGGGCATGCTGTTGCTTATTTTCAGATTTTAATTTTAAAAATATCGGACACTCATCTTTTTTGCCACCGTCATTGCCATGATACCAGTCATCTCTTCAATGAGGCATTTAATTAATTTCATTGCACTAGCGCCTAGAACACCTAGGTGGATCTGTGCGCTCTGTAAATTTTCATTATTATTCTTATTATTATTATCCTGAAATTAATAAGCAGTCAAATTTTCAATTGTCTTTTTTCAGAACAACTGCTTCTTTTACACCAGGGACAGGGCATGGATATATGGTGGCGAGATGCCTTCGTCTGTCCAACAGAAGATGAATACAAGGAAATGGTGTTGAAAAGTAGGTTTCCTTACTGATCCCTCATTTAATATTACTTATAATTGTAAAATTAGTCATCTAATGTTATAATATAGCTTGTTTACTAAATTATTAGCAAATTTTTGCCTAGGATCAAAATATTGGGCCCTTTAACCCTCTCAATTTCAATTATTATATCATTATTATTTAGCAGGCAGCCACGAAAAACATTTGTCTTGACTTTTCAAAGTTCTTTCCTTCTTTTTCAGAAACTGGAGGTCTGTTTGGTTTAGCAGTGAGACTGATGCAACTCTTCAGTGAAAACAAAAGGTGGGATTGTTGATTTTCATCGTGTTCTCAAATCTACCCATGGATAATATCTTACCAAGATTTGTAAAGCCTATTCTTTGGATAATAACATCAATTTTTTCACTGCTACTCACAGTGACTTCACTCCACTCAGCGATATGCTTGGACTTTACTTCCAAATCAGAGATGATCTTGCCAACTTACAGTCCAGAGAGTATACCGAGAACAAAAGCTACTGTGAGGACTTAACTGAGGGCAAGTTTTCCTTTCCCATCATCCATGGGATTCTTAGCAGACCTGAAGACAACCAAGTCATGAATATACTCAGGAAAAGAACGACAGATGTAGAGATAAAAAAATACTGTGTGGATCATCTGGAAAAGGTATGTCTGGTCCGTAAGTACAACTTGAACCCCCATTCTCTTACTGTTGATACTGTTGTAAAGCTTGTACAAGCAGTGATTTTTACTTGGTTATCTTTTGACTTTTAACAGATTGGCTCTTTTGACTACACCAAGAAAGCTCTTGTGGAGTTAGAGGAGATGTGAGTATAAACATGTCGTTTACATTGCCAGTATTCAGCTTTAAGTGGGCCAGTTGTCACTGTGAAGATCTGCCAGACTGACTGTATCCTCCCAGGACAATTTTTAAGTTCTGTAAACACGAACACATTGTTTCTATGCAGAGTCCTACATGAGATGTCCAAGCTAGGTGCTAATCCCTACTTAGAAGCAATGTTAGAGGAACTCGGTAAGCTCTACAAGGAACCAGACCAATGACAAGGGATGTTATAGATTGCTTCAAGAAAACAGCATTTTGCTCTTGAGATCTTTCCTTCAGCTCTCAGCTGTTCTTGGAAATGCTTCCAAATTCAGAACTTCAGTTTTGTTTTACAATCTATGCAGGCCATGTTAAATAAAATGTGCAATATACACCTACACAGTCTTGAACAACTGTGTCTGTGTCCTATAAATTGTAATTTTAAAAAGTGAAGTCTCTGAATGTCAAACTGTAGTAGTCACAGGCATCACCAGGATATTTTAAGGGCATGTTTTTTCTAGTATTGGGAGGAGGCAAAGAACTCATCAGAATGGCAGACTAAGAGCAACAAAAGAAGGGATTGGTCTTGAGGACAGCTTATTTGAAAACTTGGTGTGTAAAGATACAAAAAAAGGTTTGTTTTTGAAAAAGATTATCACCTTTGCCATTAAAATATTTTCAATCATGATACATTGCTTGAAAATCAAAAGGGTCAGCTGATACTAAAATTGCCATTGTGGAAATCTTCAAATTGGTGAATTGAGAAGAAATATCTCTATGCACTTGATGGAATTTCAGGGCAAAAAACTTGCTGTTGTATATATTTTTATTTGTAATTCATAACCATCATAAAATACACTCTTTTTAATATTACAATTGATTAATTTCAATAACAGTAAATAGCTCCCTAATTAATGCAGTAATTGATCCAAGCTACATGTATTTTTTTTCTTGTGGAAAAAGGGAGAAAGGAGAGGCGCAAACAGTTAGTGGCCTAAACTTGGCGGCAGTGATAGAACATGTACACATATTTAAAACATTTAAAGGAGGTTTTACTGAATGACTCACTGATAAATGCAGACACAACAGCCTGATTAGGACCATGTCAACCCAGTGCAAGAGCACATTGATGCAGAAGAATATGCCGAGTGTATGCATGATTGTAAGTCAAATTTCAGCATCCAAATGTTGTAATTAAGGGATGAGCAATTTAATTTGACATTTATGGGCCAAAAATATTGCTTGAAGGATTATCAATGGAGAAATAGTTATAATGAACATCACATTGGAATGTAGCTGGTAAGCTGTTTCTACTGAAAGAATGCATCAGGATAGTAAACCTCTGCAGTATGTCAGCAACCTCAACAAATTCTTGGTAAACTCATGGTCATTCTCTGCATTATTGTATCTGTGGGTGGGTTCGAGTGAGCTACTCAAGTTATTAAACACGAGTACACTCCTGAGGGCTCGAACGGGTGGAGTATGACCGGAGGGTCAGCAAGAGTATACTCTCGCTAGAGGGGGGAGTATACTCCTGTACCCGAGTGTAATGTGCACACATCCTACTCGTGTTAACAGGAGTAACCACGCGAACGCACCCTGTAAGGTGCCAAAGCTGACCTTTCACCCAATTAGACTATTTGAAGTATTAGAAACACTAAAGGAGGGTGCTATGTGGTTTGGGTAAAATCTTTTGTTTTGTAATAGCGAACTTCAATAATGCTTCAAAAAGGCTCACAAGCTTGGTCTGCCAACTGACTGATACATGGTATACTTTTTTAAAAGTTGTTCATCAGTGTCCTTTATTTGCTAGTTTTATGTACATGACTACATGTACATCTCAACCTAGAAAGATCTGAAGACCACAGTTCAAATCCAGTTTAACACTCTTCTCCATGGTCAGAAGATAAAAATGACTTAAAAACAAACCACTCTAGAAGTAATAGCTGCTAAATAACGATTGAAACAAACTGTATGTTCATGCTTTAAATTTAACATATGGCAACTTAACTCAAAAAAGAAAAAAAATACCCTTGTGTTTACTAAAAACAATAACTGAACTCAAGGAAAAAATTTGTATTCCGATTCCAGAAAAAAATCCTATGTGACAGTGCACACTTTCTACAAATGTTGAGGGATTTGAACCATTCTTCAGGTTTTTCACCAAGAGATATCCTAAATAATTATAAACCTTTAGAATGTTTAAACACCAATACAGTCTTATTTTTGTTGTATTACATTCAAGTGATAATCAACACATGACTAAACTCAATCAATTTTTGCTTGACGAATGATAACCCTTTCCAAAACAGTAATTAAACAATGGCACAATTGTGACTACTCTTGTGACCAGTTTAAATACACCTGTATGCCCCTCTATTCTTTGATATAAAACTTGACGTGTATGGTGCAGGTATTTACAGTGAAAGGCTTGTGGTTCATTGTCACAAATAACTGCAGCACGTCTCTGCCTATGTATGCACATTGCTGAGTTACCTGTACTAAAAAGAAATCTACTTCACTGACACAGAAAAAGCTACATGTACATTGTAAGTGCCTGGTAGTTACACCTCCTGATCTTGAAGCATCACTATTAACTCAGAATCCTTCAGTCTGGCTACTGATTGGTGTGACTCTGCTGGGGTGACATTATGTGATAATTTCATGCTTCAGTATCATCTAAAAGCAATGGTAATAATCAATGCTTAATTTCTAATGCCGCTGTGAAAAAAAGTATTCAGCTCACACATCCTAGTGATTGTCTTTCCATCGTCATGCAGCTATCATTTACAAAACAAAAAGGTTTTGTAAATCATTCAAATGGAAACGGATAAATAAGAGCAACATATTAATAACTGTAACAGTCCCACTAAACTACCAACCAATAATACAAAGCAGCATAAGATTGCTATTAAAATATTCACACTGGCTGATGAATTATGCATCATTACAATCATAAGGAGCTCCAGTCACAGTCCTCTCCTGTCAAGTAACAATGCATATGGCACAATTCATTTACATATACTGGCAAGCTGATAAAGCAAACAGAAGCATCAGAGAGTAGTGAACTCTACCAATAAACCACTCACTGTGACTAATCTATGCCTGAATGACAAATTCAACTACCTCAAAATCTGCTACACGATAACGAGTTCATACACAAAAACCAAGCTTAAAGTTTCCTGTCAGAATGCTATAATACAAGTGGTAAGTCAGCAAATATGAAATGTCTAACTTCGAAATCTTTGCAACAGTAGGCCGTGCATCGTACTGCAGAGTAAACAATATCATGAGGACATCACATAACAAATAAACCTACAGTTGCAAAGAAATTATACCCAGTTCTGAAACATTAATTAACTCTTAAGCACTCTGCCCAAAATTTGGTTGTATAATGGCACTGAGCACAACAATTTTTGCACTTGCAGCAAAACGCACAATATGGTTAGCCTCACCTGCATTCTTGGGAGGCCTGCATACTGCCCTCTATCATGCATATATGCAGTATATATCTCATGGGCACAATTACAACAAAAAAGTACAATTATGAAAGGCCATAGCTCTGACCAAGCCATGGTGCTGTATTGCTAATATCAGGAACATACAGACCCAAACATCCCACAGAGGGAACCAGTTATCCATACTTCATAGCTTTGATCCAATGATCATCACAGAATTTAATATAAAACAACCTCATAACAATTTCAGAAAATTGCAAATCCATTTTTGTTCCTAGCCTGAGAAGTTCCCATATTCAATCAACAGTATGGCCTTGTGGGCAATGCCATGTCCATTCATTGCAAAACGACATGGCTCCATTTTAGATTTAACCTTATCCTTACTCATCACCATTACACTAGCATTGGCAATTACAGGGAAATTTCTTAACTTCTCGTGTACATTCAAAATTGTCATTTAAATAACTTAAGCAAATGCTTACAAGCATATTGTTACAATCAAAGAGTTATTAATGGTCACATTTCTGTGGTACATTGGAACTTTTGTGACCCCTCAACTTTGACCTGATCCCCATGACTCATCACAGGCTTGTTTGTTGAAAGGTCTGTGGTGTTTTGGGTAGGACCCTTCTCTGTGCACCTTGCCTTTTGACTTCACCAACGACCTTTGGAGGTTTGAAGGGAACAGCACCAAATGGGTCTGTTTCATCAGCAGCTGCCGCTGCCGCTGCCCCTGCCCCACCCACAAAGGGGGGCTTCCCAAACTTATCAAGCTGGGGATGAGGTGCAAAATCATCTTCAAACTGGGTCTTACTTTTGTTTAAAGCTGCCTGGTTTGTGACAGGGTTTGAGCCCGGGTCGTCTGCCGCAAAGGGCTTAGACCCAAAGGCATCCAGACTCTCTTGTGAACCTATCTGACGTGGCAGGCTGCCTGGGCTTGATTTGAGGGAATTGGAGGCGGAGCTTGAACTACTACGGCGGGAGGATCTGGAGCTGTTACTCCCACTTCGTCGACGTCTGCCCCCTGACGCTGTACGTCCTGCCCTGCGGATACCCCCGGCTGTGCTGACTACATGTGGACGCTTGTGGATGGCTGTGGCGAACAAAACATAACATGATCACTTTATGTCTACAACACTGGCATTTAAAAAGAGGAGAAGCCACCTGCATACAACTCAGACTTCACAGCTTGGTTTCTGCGAGTGTTCCCCACATTGCCAATTTCTAGAGAGCTAGTGGTACAAGACAACCTTCTATGGAGCATGAGGAAAGATTTCATGTGGCCTATGTGGTAGCTCATCACAAAAACTATGGATTTATTTTCCACTAATGCCTTGTCCTTTTCCTGGTAAAGGTGTCAAAATTATCATAAAATGAAGAAGAACAAAACTGTAAGCACAAATCTTGGCTGAAGTCCACTTCATTATGTGGATTTCTGCAGAACTATGAATTGTAAGATATGTTTACAACCCTTTACTCACCAGTATCATGTGCATGTTTATGGTGTGTCTGTACACTTGATGGTTGGCCTTCAGTCACGGTTAGCTTAGAAGCTACAGCTTCAAATGGAACAGCTCCAAACAGATCAGCTCCTCTTTGCTGGGCCACACCTTGCACCTTCACAGCAACCTTCCCTACATGTTCCATCTCAGTGGGAGAAATTGGAGGAGTAGGGTTACCAGTGGCTGATAAGTCAGTGTTGGAACGCTGAGACTTAGGTTTGTGGGCACCAGTGGTAGATTGATGGGTATCTGGCCGCTTCTTGGAGGGGAAAGGGGCCTTAGAGAAGACATCAGAGCTTTCTGATGTTGACGAAGTACGACTTCCTTGTCGCTGAACGTTTCTGGGATCAAATGGAGCTTCACTGAAAGGGTCAGGCTTGACATCATGAGTGGGAGGTGAGACGGGAGGTGTAAGGGTACAGGAGCTAAGGGGTTCAACCCTGGATTTAGGGATGGCAGATTGGGGGACTGATTGGACAGCAGTCCTGAATGGTGCTTGGCCAAAGGGGTCATCCTCATCACCCATATCAATGAGCTTCCCAACAGGAGGGTTGGGATCACGGAGATTCAACCCAGCCAGCTCGGCATCAGAGAGGTCTTCCTCTCGAATTGGTGAGGTTAGGGCGACAGCTTCTTCATGGTCTTGCTGATCAGAATCATCCTCCGTCTCCTCTTCAGATGAGTCCTCCTTGTCCAATAGTCCTCGGTGTACATGTTCTTCATCCTTGTGGATCTCCAAAGATTGAGAATCAAAGTCCTCATAGCTGTAGTCACGAAGGCTATCTGTGGCCCTGTCATCTCGTTCACTACTAGATTCACTGACCTTTCGCCGAGGTGAGAATGGCTCAGCACCAAACTCATCTAGCTGTCGCTGGGGATTGCTGAAATCCAGAGGTGCTGCCTGATCTTTGTCCACACACTCAGCAGTGGGGTTATCACCAAAATCTCCAAGCAGGACCAAATCTGGAATTGTCTTCTTTTTCAGACCCCCCTCTTCTGAGGCTCCAGAGGGGGGTCTAACGGCGTCCCCCGAGGATGCTACACTGAGGGTCTGGCCCACTATCATGTCCATGGGGCTTGTGACGGGAGGGCTGACGAAGGGCCGAGCACCAAATTCATCAACAGTGTTATCATCTGGCTGTGGCTGTGCAGGAGACTGGTTGGTGCCCAAACTGGTAAGGTTGTCAAGCTCAATTGCACTACTAGGTCTTTGGTTACCTGCAGAAGTGTTAAATATACCCAATTAATGAGAGACTGCTTATGTCCATGAGCAAGGCATTTACATGAAGCAAATGTGAAGAGAAGAAGCTTGGCGAAGTTTTTGGTGGATTCTGGATACAACAGAGCAAATCTTGAAAAGTCTGGGGATGCTGCCGATAGAAATGTAGTACTTATGTGTAACTTTTAGAGGAAGAATTTCTGAAAGAATGTGATTTTTAACTCGCCTTCTGAGGAAGTGAACGGGACAGCCCCAAATTTATCTGTGTTAGATGACCGCTGTGAATCTTCACCTGTACAGAGAAAATCCAACAAGTATTCAATCCACTGACAAGAATCAATGCTCAAATTAAAAAAAGATATGCTTTTCAGCCAACACTTGAACCCACATCTTGAGGGGACTTGTCATGGTTTGACTTAATCTTTTTCGTCAGATAAGTAAAAGACTGATGTTACCATTCATGCATTCTCAGGTCAGAAGCATGCTGATATATTTCAAGGTAACATCTACAAAGGGTTTGCATCTAAATGAAGTTTACAGATTTCATGACAAATTCCAGTTTCAATTCAGGAGTTGACCAAACTCTGGACTTGAAGAACTGTTATGTGGTGGTAACCTTACAAAAGACAAGTTTGCCACTTACCAGGGGCCATTTTCCTAAGCATGTCAAATTCACTGTCAACAACTTGGTCAGGAGACAGTGTTGCAAAATCTCCTTGATCCTTGAATGGGTTACACACCGGGCCTTGCGCTGCAAAACTCTGAGGCCTGGCATGGCCTGGTGAGATTGAACCATCCCTGTTAGCTGGCACAAACAACTGGTGATGTTGCTGCTGTTGTTGCTGCTGTAGTTGGTAGAGCTGCTGCTGTTGTTCAGAACGTTGTTTCTGCTGCTGATGAGCTTGTTGCTGAGCATACTGCTGTTGCTGCTGTAACTGCTGTTGTTTAAGCTGCTGCTGTTGCATTTGCTGTTGCTGCAACTGCTTTTGGTGGAGTTGTTCTTGCTGCAGTCTCTGCTGCTGCAATTGTTGCTAGAACAAGACATGATACATTGCATTACACCGAACACAATGCGTTCAAGTACGGGATTAAATCATTTAAATGCACTTAACGGTACTGCACTGTTCTGTCCTTTCTTAGTCCATCAGAATTAGGTTTGGTACCTCCTGATATCAATGACAACTGATACTCTCCACATGACTTTAGATTTCACTTACCTGCTGCATTTGCTGTTGCATCTTAAGTTGCTGTTGCTGTTGCTGTAACTGCTGTTGTTGTAACTGCTGTTGTTGTAACTGTTGCTGTTGTTGTATTTGTTGTTGCTGTTGTAACTGCTGCTGTTGTATTTGCTGTTGCTGTTGAATCTGCATTTCTTGCTGGCTCAACTGTCTGGTGAATTGCTGAGGTGTAGCAGGTGGGTACTGCTGTGCACCAACAAATCCAGATTGCAGAGGTCTGTATTGTTGATGGTAGCTGGCATTAACAGGGACAAAAGCATGGCGTTGTGGTCCCGCATACTGCTGTTGTAAACCTAGACAATACATAAAAGCCACAAAAATTCTAAAATATCCAATAACTTCCTTTTACTTTTGTCTACATGGTTCAGTCATGGTACCATACATGGTACATACACATACTCGTCGGATGTACAAAACCAGAAGGAATCTTTAAAGCATAAGGGATATGTACACATCAGCCACTCCAAACAGAAATTGCCAAAACACATTCACATGTCCTCCATGAAATTGTCACAAATATCAACCTGCAGAGAGTCGTTAAGTGGCTTAATTGAAGTCTTACTAAATACCTTTTATTGCGGTTACATCTTACCTGTAGAAGGAAACTGTGGCGTTGTATTCATCTGACGTTGTTGCTGCATTGAAAAAGCCTGCTGCACCAACTGCTGCGGTGTATACTCAGATATCAGAGAATCAGTGTGCTGCTGTTGTTGCAACTGCTGTTGCTGCTGCAACTGCTGCTGTTGTTGCAACTGCTGTTGCTGCTGCAACTGTTGTTGCTGCTGCAACTGCTGCTGTTGTTGCAACTGCTGCTGCTGTTGTAACTGCTGCTGTTGCATCTGTTGCTGTTGTAATTGCTGCTGTTTTAACTTCTGCTGTTGCAGCTGTTGCTGCTGGGTTGGGGTGTGTCTATGCACCTGAGTTGACTGGGATGCTGCAGCTTGTTGCTGTTGCTGCTGTAACTGCTGGGGATCTTGAAATGCTTGCTGTACTTGCTGGGGGCTCACTCCTGAAATACAACGGAGGTACCTCTTCTCAAAATTAACTCAATATCAAATATAGCGATAAGGCTACAATAAGGTAACCATGAATAATTTGTTCGATGAACAAAGTTGAAGCTTACACCCGAGCAAACCCAAAAGACCTAATGAATTTTGAATTTTACAATACTCAACTCCTGCTTCTTAAAAATGCAATTTATTTTTTTTTTCAGATGCTAAACCTGTATCTGTAAAGCAACATTTCTAGTAAACTTTTGAATAAAAATGTGGTCAACTCATTTCAGAGTATTTAAAATATTACCGGTTGCTTTCAATCTTATCCCCTCCACATTAGCAAATTAGATGAAAAATTGGTCTGGTTTTTATAGTTACAGGATCTACAGCCAGAGTCATCATTACTTCACATCTTGAAGTCCTCATTTGTTGGTGTACATGGATTGTGCTACTCAGTTTCTGATGAAGTGCTGATGTTGGGAGAATCCGGAGGTCTGGATTGACAAATGAACTGTGGTACAGTATTTGGATAACAAATATTCTGAGGGATTTCGATCAACTATTGTACGTACTGTTCCCCGGTGCTCCCTGAGTAGGGGCGGAGACTCCTGGTTTACCACGCCCCTTAGATGCAGGGACAGGTAGCTGCAACACACTCATGGGTGGGGCAGCACCGGCTTGACCTGGTTTGGGTCGTTGTCGAGGTGTCACTGAAGTGCTAACATCCATGGGAGTGGCTGATATCCTGCCATAAAACACAAACATGCATTGAGGTACTTAATCAGAGTTGGAAGCATATTTTGTCTTTGCAAAAATCAAGCAATTAGTGATTCTGAACTGTAACTTATTTTGTGGTAACTTTGAAAATTAGAATTTATGACTGATGCTCAGTCTGCCAAATTATGCAAAATGAGACTGCCTGGTGCCAAGTTTCATCTTCTTTCTTGGATTTGTTCTGTTTTGTTGCCTGAAAAAATGCTCTCAATCTCACCTGTTGGTGTTCTGCTTAGATCGATTGTCCTGCTGTTGTCGGTATTCCGTCTCTGTTAATGGTGTTGGTAGCTTACTCATGCCAGGAACAGGTGAACTCTAGACATTAAGAAACCCAAAGAGGCTTTCCAGTACCACAGCAATAAGGCAATGATGACTAGAACTAGTTGAAAAGCACAAGACTGTTTGATTAAATATCAGTTTGGGGCAGAATGAGGCCCTTTTTATAACAAAGCTTTCTGAATGCACTATGAAATGTGTAAATATCTTTCTACGTATAAAATGCACAGGCATTGTCATTTTGACATCAACAGCTTGCCAGTAAATCTTATGATAGATAAATGAATACGATCCCAGGGCCTTATTCTGTGTAGGGATGAAAAGTACTTACATGTAGATTTTGGACTGGTGTCTCTGTTCCAATCATTCTGAATGCAACGTAAGAGACTTGGTAGATGTCTGGTCGCTTGTCTGGATCCACTTCCAACATGTAGCCTTCGGACAAAAACCAAGAAATATTAAGAAAGGAACCTCTATACTCCAAGTCAGTGATATGTCTAGCATAAAAGAAAAGCTCCCAGTTAACTTCAAAAGTTTTGTGATTTGCTGAATTTACATTAAGACTGCCCTTGAACTGCAGGGGTGGCAATCAATCATATGGATACTGCAAACAATAGGGTCATTCTATGAATCACGGGGCCAACATTTCTTGTGTCGCTGTCACATGTGAAATATGTTTTTGTAAGTTCAGAACACATTTTCTGATTTCCAAGAATGATGGATTAATGCAAATTACCTGACCTGACAAACCTAACAAACAGAAATAGTATGAAATCAATTTCAGTGATCTCTTCATGTCAAAATAAGAAAGGTCAGGTGTAACAGTGACACACAAATGTCACACTTTTGAACCCTGAATTTATAGAATGACCCAATGGTATGTTTCATGGGTAAAAACTGAATATGAGTTGCCCGTTTTCCTAAGGGTAAAATGTCCAAGTTAGTCTGTAAATATACCACTTTTGGGTAATCATTGCTGTTTAGAAGCTGCACTAAAAACCCAAATTAAACAATTACTCCTGAGTTTTTTAACTTACATATAAGCGAATGCATCTCCTTAGAGTAGCGTGAGTTGTCAGGTATGGTGAAAATGGCACTCTGTATGGCTAAGCTACTTTCTCCAAATGGAAGAGCGAAGTAACACAACTTGTACAGCATACAACCCATGGCCTGACAGGGTGAAATAGAGAAAATAGCACATTAACTAAAGGTTTAGAACCATTGCGAGAGCATTCAAACAGAAATGTATCCGGGGTACTGTATTTAAGCACCACATGCCTATTTAATATAAAAAGCAGTGAAAACTGTCCAAAACAACCTGGAAAGTTAGCTTACATGTAAGTCAGAAGTTAGTAAAAGTCAAAAGACAGCCACAAATTACTGAGGCTAACCAACGTGAATTCTGCGAAAACGTGTCTGAAAAAAGTCAAAAGACCCCTTTTGGGCTGTCTAAATGCCCAGCCTTGTGATATAAAAGACAGAGTAGGAAAAATATTTAGGGAACAAATACCAAATTAAACAAGACTGCGGAACCGGTATTATTGTATTGAAACTGTTTAATGCCTTTCTGTAATCAACCACTTGATGTCTAGTACCTACCCATATATCTGCCTTGGTGGTTATTGGTACCTCTGAATAAAGATCAATCATCTCAGGAGAGCGATAAGATAAGGTGGTGTACCTGCAAATTACACCAAAATGCTGTAAAATACTATTCAATTGGCTTGGACTCTCAAAAACTCTGTCATATGTCAAGTCGTTTCACAAAATAAAGTGATAAAGGATTTAAGTATAAAATGACTGTTTTCATCACATACCTTTCTAGTTCATCCTTAATTGGTTGGACCCCATGCAGCTTTGGGTCCAAGACTTTACCTGTTGCACTGCCAAAATCACACAACATGTAGTTACCATTGGGGTGTAGAAGAATGTTCTCCACCTGAAAATTAAATCATGGAACAATAAACTCTCCACGGTTAGAAAATGTAGCTCAGTGATACAGACTTGCTTTGGCCACAATCCCAGGATGGGCAAATAACTACTTTCCATTTCCCCTTGTAAGCAATGGGTCCCTTTCTGTTTCATGACAACTTTCACTCTACTATTAACATCAATGTGGGTTCCAGAACTCAGGGCCTGTTTGTTTCACACAAATCTGGATCTCGATCAGTCATCTTAGTTCGCACCATCCATTAGGCGAGTTTTGGTGTCCCTCAACCAACGACGAATCACTGATCGGTATCCAGATCCGTGTGAAACAAACACAACCTCATTGTGCAAAGGAGTTTAAGCTGCAGCGTAATCTTCAATCTCTAGAAGACTGTAAATAACATGCACAAGTCCCTGCATGTATCTCATCTGACACTGGTAAAAACCATATCAATCACAACTTTTGTTCTCTCTTACTTGTATTTTTAAAAAGTTCTTTAAAAAGATTTTACATTTACATACATGTACGTACATGTACATGAACATGAAATGCATAAAAAGGTTATTGCTACATGTAAATACGATTAAAGAATTGGTGATTGATAACTAGTATTTAATACAGGTATTTGTATTTTTTCATGTACTTCACAGTGAAAACGCAACTCTACACTTTACCTTGAGGTCCCGGTGTATGATGGGAGTCTGGCAGTGGTGTAGTCTGGACACGGCCTCACATACATCGCAGAATATCCTCATGATCTCATGTTCAGTGAAGCCCGTGTTCAGTCTCTCATTCATCTGTTGGACCACATGCCCATCTAAAGATTGAAATGAAACACATGATAGGACAGTTTGGGACCACATTCTTGTGCACACCTGCAACAGTGCTACATGACCAACTAACAAAAATTTGGCTAGATCCAACTTACTTTGCTCAGACTGGAATATGCACTTCAAGGAAATGCACAATGCCACAAGCTAATGGCTTCTACAGGCAATGTGGGTCATTTCCACCCACAGCCACATATTTGGACAGAACTGAAAAAAAACACAGTACCTCTGCAGTATTCCATAAGAATGAGGACTTCATAGACATCAGAATTGCCCTTGATGATGCTGGAATCAATATATGGCACAATATTCTTGTGGCCTGTCAAACTTGCCTACAAAAGAAAAAAAACAATTTCAAAAAAGTCAATGCTCATGAATGCTCTGAAATCAAAGTAAAGTTGAGGTGTAAAAAATATAATGCATACACATGGCCTGTGCTGTAACCATATATGTTTGTATTAGGACAGGTAACATTAATGTCTGAATGTTAACACAGCCGAACAGGTGTTCAAGAAGAACTGTGTGCACTGTGACATTTACAGAAATTTCTTGAAGAGTATATTGTGCTGTGCTTGAAGCCTACATATGTGCAGAAGTGCATGTTTACACATTATGTGGCATGCTGGTATATCGTCTTTACATCTACATCTACATGTAATTATCAGAGTAAAGCTTTTTTCATGACAAGTAACATGAAATCTTCCAGGCAGATTTCAGGTTTCATGAAATTTCAAAGCCCCATAACAATAGCTGAATCATTCTAGCCATATCTGCCTCCAGCACAGACCACATTTTCCAGCTGTTTGCAAAAGCACACCAATCTTCTTTAAAAGGTCAATTTAAAAATAAAATGGTCAAGACCACAGCTTTCTGGAAAATAACAGTATATACATGTACTGTATACAAACCGAAAAACAGGAAACACCCTCATCCCACATATTTGCAGTACAGTATCCTCTTCTGAATTTGACACTTATTGATTTTCTCACAGCTTGTATTCAGAAACCAGAAATACATGTATCCAGCATGGCTGAAGGCACATCCTGTGATATCAGACGGTTTCAAATCCAGACAACCGCTGTGCATCTTCAGTTTCTCTTTCCATTAACACATGTCCCAGGAGTAGGTAGTATACATGTACATGTACTTGTGAAATATTTCCTAAGTTTAGAAGCATCACCAGAGTGTACATGTAATATAATCCATGCATGACAATTGAGAGTAAAAGTCCCTCCATATCCACACTTGCAACGTACATGTACCGCTACATGTAAAATGTGGTGACACATTTTGATTCCTATTGATTTTTTTTCTGTTTTGGTTCAAACCTTTCCATCTTTTGGTCAAAGTGTAGTTAACCCATAAATTTGAGAAGACATTCATTTATTTAGGGTACAATAAAGGATGTGCAAGCATGAAATAGTGTTGTGACCAACTGGTACAGTACATGTACATACATGTAAATACATGTATAGTTTAATCCACTCCTGCATGTATCAGGAGTTTGCAAGAAACCCTCTCCTTTCTGCTGAAATCCAGCGCCTCGCAATACATGGACATGTATACAGGTATATATACACATGTATGTAACTAGACCTAATATTCCAGTGAACAGTGCATTAAATGTTAGATTTTGTGGATTTGGGTTTGCCAAATTTAACAACATGTGGTGCAAGCATGGCCAAAATACTAACAAACCATTCTCCCCATGTATGAGTATAAACTTGCGTATCCGCCTGATATGCACAATTCTTTTCCTGATCATTGCCGGTACACAAAAAAATGCCCAATACCCATGTTTTCACCCCCGATATGCACGTTATTGGGCCTACCCGTGCTTTGCCATTAGTAGAAATCGAAATGGGCTGCCACGCACACATTGTGCATATGGATCGTTTAGTGTACAGAAACATGGTTCCTTAACTCCCTATAGAAATGATGAAACTAACAGGATTTCTATCCTCAGGGACCACATTATTTTCATCGATTTTTGCATGAATGGATAGTGTTTGAGTTCCCTAACCCACATGCCTCAATTTCTCATCAACAACGAAAGTTCTGTGAAAAAAAATGTGAAGTTTCCTAGGGGGGTATAACATGTGAAAAATGGGCATTTCCTTTCAAGTGGCATTTGGGAGGCTTCGTGTGTCATCTACAAGAACTAGGTATCATTTTTTAAAAATCTGGATCAGAAATATCTTAAAAAGAATGAGGTTTAAATCATGAGTAAGGGCAATTTTACCACAAACCAATGAAGTGCATCATGATTTTCTGAATGGTCGCCACTGGGCCTTGCATTAGTGGCAGCCAGTCAACATAACAGTCTGTAGGCAGTACATGTAGCTTACTACCGGTACATGTTTGTGCTGCGGGCTGTACATGGGCAGATACAGACTCCCTTTTGTGATTTTCTCCATGGTTGTCATGTGCTAATGATAAGCACTAAGCATTTTTTCCCCAAAGGAATAACATGTAATATGCTTTCCTCGCAATTCCAATTAAAAAAGGTACATGTAGGCCAACCATGGGCCTAAATTCAAACACAAATTTATGTGGTTTGAAAACTTTTTTTTGCAACCGTGCCACTAAACTGAGCTTTGCAACACCTGCCGAGAGATATGTCAATTTTTTGGAATATCGCATTTAGTTAAAGTATTTGTAAATCTGTCATTTTCCATGGGACACCACTGATGAAAAGCTCAGGAAATGTTCTAGAATGCACCTGAGAGCATCGAAAGTTCAACATATTTAAGGGCCATTAAACAGGCCAGGAACCCCACATCGTGGCTTCACAATTTGTCAGTAAACAAGGATAGAAATCCCCCACACTTTGAAAAATCCTGGGGAGAACCCTCAAACCTTTTGTGCCCACACAGTGCACTCAGGCTTGAAAAACTAAAAAAAGTCCCTTGATGTAAACTCAATGCATCAGCAAACCACTTACAGACAGAAGCCAGGCCTTCTGGGATACACTGATAGTTTTGGACAGATCTACATGTACATGTATGGTACAGTTGTGATTGATCTCTTATTAACACAGACAGCAGAGAATTCTGGACTCTGTGTAAACAGCTAACACAAAAATATGCTGCCCTCAGCTGGAAAATGGATCTTATGGATTGTAAAAATTGATTTTCTGAAAAATGAGCTTCATTTATCAAGACAAAACTTATTACACCACACAAAAATCAACTGTCATATAAACAACTTGAGTTTTCTTGAAACAGTTGCAAATGTACAGGTGTAGTAGTGTAGGGCTGCATGTACGTATACATGTGTAGACATGTATTTTTCTGAAGAAAGCCCAAATCTCAAACTTACAAAGAAATAATTACTTTTGTAGGGGGAAGCTTTCAAAGGACAAATGTTGAAGGTAGAAGTCATGTTCCAATGCACACACAAAATACTGTCCCCCATGCATGTTAATGACCTTGACAAGAACCCCAGAATTTTCAGTTCTGTGTGTGTGGAAATAAACTGCGCATACCGGTACATACATGTAAACTGTATGCGTTTGGTGAACTGATCATGCTCAACGATTATGACAATAGTGGGAGTGTACCTCATCCAACTTGTGTCTCAAAATAAAAATTGGATTATCTTTAAACAATATGCACTACCTGTTTACAGCACTGCCACTGTACATGTACATTTATTGTGTTTGGACACTGCTTCCTGTAATCCATGACATGGTACATGTACAAATTTGACACTTAAAAAAGTGCTACGTACATAGCAGTCAATTCTGAATTTACATGCATAAAGGTGTATGATTGTTTTGCAACATTACAAAAATCAAGAATGGGACTTTCTGTCAAAAAATAACAAGGACAAATTTATGTACATGTAAAATGTACATAACATTTTCCAAAGATGAGAACAAGCTGTTGTCAGCACTTTGACAAAACCTGTTTGATGTACATACATGTACTGCAGCATTTATCTTGTTTCTCACCATAATTTTAATCTCCCGTTTGCAGACTGCCAAGTCCTGCTCATTGTTGACAAACATCCTCTTGAGTGCAAAATGCCGGCCGTTTCGAGCTTTAGCCAGGAAAACCAAAGCAAAACCTCCTAAAAAGTGGCAGTGAAATAAACAAAAAGTTGTATGAAAATCATGAAACTTCAACAGGCAAAAACTACAAAATGGTCCTCAGTTACAGAGACAAAGACAAAATGGTCCTCAGTTACAGAGACAAAGACAAGACCTTTCTTCTACAATGACAATGATTTCTTTTCCATATATCTTTGTGAATACATGTACCGGTACGTACATGACTTCATTTCATATACCAATAACAGCATGTCCAGAGGTCTGCATTCAAAGCCTGCTGGCCTTCATGAATTTCATTTATGAAGTATACATGTATTTACATGTACATGCGTATTTCAATCACTTCATACAGTACATATCAACTCTGGATATTTAATCCTGATTACTTTTATGATCAAACGGAAGTCTCTCCTGTTTCTGGAATGCATGCATGTGTGCGGCATGTAATCACCACAATCAAAAACCTCCGAGCAGAGGCACAACCATTTTTCAATGCTAATCAGCTTAAAAATAAAATCTCTGCCATATTTTTAATAGCAATCATGTCTCTTGAAGCATAGAGCTAAAATTGCAAATCTAAATCACACACAGGAATTCTCATGCACACCTTTATTTGTACACAAGAGGCCCAAGAGGCTCTGGAACAAGAAAGCGATGCATCATTGAGCATTCATTCTGCTTCATGGAATACTAATTTTCTCCAGTGCAAAATGAACTGATGTGCATGTGATATGTGCATGCAATGCATGTGATGCATAAACATGGCTCCTGAGGTGAACACACTTTTTAAGTCTAGAGCCATAACAATACTGAAGAGTGCAAATTCAACATTTCCACGAAACACATTTTGCATTAATTTACTGCACATGTTTTATATAGCTCCACATACCGGTATCATGCAATAATTAACAATGTACACTAAAATGTACCTGTATGTAGGTTTTAAAATCCATTAGATTAATAGATGTACTGAGTAAAGTTTAACCAACTGCTACTAGTATTTGTTAAAATTTGAGACTTTCAGAAGCACAAATTACATAATCTTCACATAATTTCAACCTTTTTATTTGAACCAGCAACACTTCAAAGCAAAAGTCTGGCGTAATACAACATATGGCAATCATGTATGGCTGCAGTTTCAATTAAGCTTCATTTTCCAATTTCAATCTGACTGCACCTGCCTTTGTTACAACTTACATGTAAGCCTAGTTTCCTTATCAATGTGAGAAACACAGAGAGCAACCCTATCAAGATGCAAAGTGCAAACACAGGCAAATGGAAATATGTCAAACGGAAGTGTCATCACAAACAAAAACCAGCCCCACAAAGATCAGCAAAGTTGAGCCCAGATCAACTTTGCTGACTGTCTGTGTCAAGTCGCTGAGTAGGCCTAACAATTTTCAGAGTTTCGCATGCCATTTTATTTAATTTTTTTGGTGGAATGACATCGCCCAGCGTCTTCCCCGACTGTCTGCATCTTGACGTCTTGCGGACTGTCTGCATTACAAGCGACCAGATGAAAACCAGGTTTACATGTAAGATACATGTACATACATTTACAGGTACAAAGAACGAGGTGTAAAGATTTTACATGTATTTTAACTTTATGGAAAACATCAAAGGTGTTTGAACAGCGGACATGCATGTACCACTGATACAGTGACAATACTATTTTTAATTGTTAAATTTTAAACACAGATGTGTTTGACAATTGTGCAAGCTTGCAAGCAATACAGTACATGTAAGTTAATGCACACATACATGTACATGTACCTAGCAATCGTGACACACTTACTGAGCTCATAAAAGTGGCATAAATTCACTTTGGCAATGCAAAAAAACCAAACAACAATGACGTCAACCAGACTTTTCACATTGCACAATTTTCCTTTGCTTGAGGCTAATCTGGGACTTTCCGGACCAGGCCTCCTCGAGCTACATTCATCCTGTATACATGTATACAGGTGCTCTACCACATGGTCCCTAGGGGGTTAGGGTTAAGGTGCACCTAAAGATCCATGCACGTCACCGCCTACCAAGATACATGCATGTACAGTGTATACAATGTCTGCATGAATTTGTACACTTCTACCACACCGGAGGTACACATATACTGAACTATCTGAATCTTGCTCATTGTACTGCAAGTAATTTTTCTGAAAGGTTTTTTCTTCCTCATATGCACATTAAACAATGCCATGGGTGCAGCCTGCGGGCTTTTCATGACCTGATCATAGATTACATGTACATACATGTACATGTACACTGTAGGCTTTCCACACAGAGCTGAACCACCCTTTCGAGCAGGACAAAGGAAACTGTTCAGGCGACTGCATTGTACACAGTGCAGCTCTGCCTTTTGTTCATGATTTAGACTTTGCCCTGGAAATTACTAATATCTACATGGACTAGTACACATATTCATGATTCAGTCAGCAAAACTACACTAACAAGGAAATGTGCTTAAATGCATGTGTACCAAATACATGTTCACGTGTACATGTTGTACAATGTACGACATACATGTATACATGTATGTACATGTACATGCATACATGTAGCAAGGTTTCCATGATCAAAATCATGACAAAGAAATTACATGTAACAGGTGTAACATTCTTGTAGAGATTTTTGAATATGTACTGTACACCAACAATCTGCCATCAAAGCAAATACATGTACATGTAAAAGTTTTTTTACACAGAAATTGAGTAAAAAGCTAGTCTCAGACAGGAAAAGGATAACTGAATACCAAAATGTCCAGGTATGCATGTGACATATACAGGTACATGTATTTCAAAAGACCAGCTGAACCATTCAGCAAACTACATGTACATGTATGGTTCAGCCCCTATAAACTAACACGAGGCTAGGAGCCAGAAATGTGTAACCAGAAGTGTTTTTACAAAACTGGTGCCAAATACAAAACAAGTTCACATTTCCAGTTTAAAAACCTACCTTTATTTGAAAAATAATTTTAGAGATGAACGTACATGTAAAGGAACATTTGAAGGACTCCAATCCTGGGAATGGGGCATTTCACTTCAGTATTGGTCACCAGTGTGACAAACCACAAGACAATACAGTACAAAACCGACACTTCAGTTCCTAGATTACCAAGGTCCAGAGGGTATTTGATATCAGTACATGTATTCTGAAACCTGAAACTTTGTTTACATGGTCATATTATTTGTACATGTATAATGTGGTAGATCATGTAGAGGTCAACATTACCAGAAATGGCAGACCTGGGAATAGCAATGGAATGATGGAATGACCATGGAAAGCCAACTTGTGAGCATTAGTTACGCATGTTCAAGCACATGTAAAGTTGTCAATTCATATAATGTCCTATCCTAGCAACCTCTCCCAAGTCCAAGGGTACATGTACAAGCCTGCTGCCAAAGACCCATTCACAATGGCAACGTTTGGTCTTGCAGGCAATTTTGACTCAATTCAGTATGCATCTTTGAAAAGTGAGTTGCATGGGCACATGAGCATATGAATGCCCAATTCCAGTGAAAAATAATACTTTATCAAAATCCTCCTATGCAAAGATGCAATCTGCACCAAGTTGCCCTGTCAGTCAAAATCTGTCAAATGACATACACTGTATGATATGTTTATGTACCCGTACTGTAAAGACACTTAGAAGTGGACGGAATTTTTAACTGGCTGTGACTGTAACAGCATGAGGATTAATAATCACAAAAATGTCAAAGCCAATGTCACATGAAACTTTTTGACTGGCCACTCATCAACACAAGTAATTATTACAATCTCACTTTTTCCCTAAGTAAAGAAACTTCTAGACTGAGACATGCTTACAAAGCCAACGATGTATAATCACTATGTACTGTATGGCCTATCACTGATACTGCAAGAGTGATTTTGAACCATACAGTAGAAAAGCATTATAGGAAAGAAAAGGGAGCACGCGTTGCACCTTGTTTCCTTCCCACATTGCCTTTCTACATGTACATGTTCTACCATTGAGAAAAATCCCTCATGTAGTATTGGCCATGAGGTCTGTGAAAACTTTCCTTCAAGTTCAAAATGCATTTATCATTATAACCATAGGATTTCAAACTCAGGAACTTCAAATTTGTTGAATTTCTACCTAAAATATTCAAGGCCACAGATGACTCAGCTCCTTACACAATGTAACTAAAGGTATGTGCCTGTACTGCAATCAGCTGTATATTAATTCCAAAGATACATTCTTGACACAGTTGTCATATCCGTCAAAATCAGTCAAATTTCCCATATGTGTCTGTGTACTGGGGGAATCAAGTGGAAGGAATTTTTGACTATTTTTGACGGTTACAGTAGAAGGAAGGTTTTAATTATGGGCAATGCCAAGATTTAGTTACAGAAAAAAGACATGCTCTAGGGGTCAACACGTGTAGGTGTAGGCTATGTATGTTATTTTTACAATGAACAAGAAAACTGAACACAAACTTTTTAAGGTAGGCCTAGGCCAAATTTCAAATTCAATAATTTTTCTAGCAGTAGAGGTTTAGGCCTACGTGTACATGACATATTCTTGATGATTGATGATAGAACAGTTCGGCCTATCTCTTACTTAAATGTAGGCCTGGCCTGGGCCTAAATAAAAGCCAAGGCCCTAGGCCTACTGTTCATCTGATTTTTCAGCTGAAATCGGAAGTTTTAACTTAAAACACAACTGAAAATTAGTAACAAAAAATGTGCAATGATCTCTCAAATTAACATTGGAAAATTTTCAACCAAGCAAAGCCATTAGGCCTATTTTATTAGCAAACATTCATGACAGCACAGACAAATGTACATGTATATCATGACAAGGAGGAAGGGATGATGACACCATGGAGGGAGGACACAAACTTCCTCCATGATGACACCTGGGCCTACGTACCCTCTGCGATGACATCCTCCACTGACACTTGATATCTTCCCACGGTAAAAACACGGCCCACAACTTCTCTTGCTGCGCCGCTCGTCAGTTTCTTGTTCTTCTTCATGGTTGCTCAACTTTTAACAGGCCTACCTAAAAATAAAATTCCAATAACCCTGCTCAGATGCGTGAAAGCTTCAAAAATATGGCTACATTTCGCAAAACCTTAAGGTTTTGAAACGAGTGACATGTGCGATCTTCTCTTTCGCAGGATTTCTAGCACTCCAATTTAGCAGAGCTAGGGAGGGATGTGCACGAAACTCGTTCCACATCACAACATGCTTAACAATAAAAACACCCAGCCTACCTACATGCATACAGTACATGTATATACTTGCACTTCCATGGTTGTTCCCACGAAGCCCTACTGTGTGATATTAATGTATCGTATTATACAGGATACCAGTTGGTCGGAATGAGTCATCCGCAGATTTTTGTTACACCTCCGCCTGGTGCCCGCCTACCTGCCTCTGCAGTAATTAGCCTAAATCGTGCAGAAAAAGTTCGTACACCATGCTACAGAAATTAGGGACCTCTGACCCCAAGCGCGCGGCTCGAAACACGAGAATGGCAGATGTGGACAGCAAAGAGAGGTATAATTTCATACTTCTTACTTGCAGTGAAATTTCAGTTTTACTTTAAATGTACCCATTCGAAATTTCATTAAATATTTATTCAAAAATCATCGTTAGAACGCAAACCATGCCAACGTAATCATTTTGATGCGAAGGGGCCGTTTTGTTTATTTGAAGCCTGTCCAACAGGCTCCATGTACATAGTTGCACTAATTTCGTGATATTTTGCAGTAACGTCAGGCCCGAGTAAGATAGCTGGTAATGAATGCTGATTAATAGAGCTAGACTGTGTACGCAATTGACAACCAAGAATCTCTTACACGTTTTATTTTGAATATCAAACGTGCAGAGTCGGAAAAATAAACATGGAAAATTCACAGACATTTGTTTTCTGCATTATTAAGTTTGGCATCTGAACTGTCTTTGTTGCATTTAATGCATACATGTACATGTATGTAACAGCACAGCACAAGGGGTTTTGCCCATTTTGAGAATTGTGTACTTTCGACAGTTGCTTCAGTCCTCCAATTTCTCTATGATTTTACATGCACCCAAGGGAGTTAGGGTTAACTTTGATGCTTACAGATTTTTTAAAACTTAAATTTTGTTTGTATACATGACAACGCTTCCCATGAATGTTTAATTTTGAAATATCCTAATTTGGCTCAAGCCTGTACTTTTCCTTTTTCTTTTTTTTCTGTTTAAGTTCTACCACAGAGGTTGAGGAGGATGTTGCCATAGATACTGGTGTAGTAGAGAGCTTTGATGTCGCCGAATCCCAGGAGGTGGAAATGCAGGAAACTGTTAGTGCTTCTGACCCAGAATCAATGGAACCTCCCTGTGATGATGATGGAACATCCACAGATAACAAAGAAAATGTTTCTGTGGAAGTTGGCTCCACTGATACAGGGGGGGAGAAGTTAAAAGAAAGCACAGGGGTTAAAGGAGACTGCTATTGGTAAGCTTTGAGGTCTATTTATATAAAGATACCATCGCCCATGCTATCTACTTTGCTCAGACTTAACTCTTTTTTTACCACCATCTTGTAGCATTTTTTACATGAATTGGCACTTTGGATGCTTAATGGTTGCTGACAGTTGATGATGTAGAAATTTTTCATTACTTCCTCAGTGGTAAAGAGAGAAACCCTAATAACATTGAGCTTCAATGCAGTGTCTGCCTGAAGTGGTTCCATAAGAATTGCATCACATGCAATGTGGGGTAAGAATCTGCCTTAGTCAGGATTTTGAGGAGACAAATAGATCAGTCATTTATACTTTACCAGAATTGGTATTTATGAATTATGATTTAAAGAACATTGTCTGTGCAAGTACCAACTAAGATGTCTAACTGAGCTTAGTTATGTACATATACATCAATGACAGAAATGTTCAGCTTAGTGTTATGATGGAATTTTTGTTTTATTCTTTAATCTTAGCTTCCCTTAAGTCTCTTAAAAAGCAACATCAGGTTTGAAGGATTGAGTTTGTAGTATCAGAACTTCTTTTTCATAGGAACTGCATACCTTACATGATGACTTATTCCTTCTGCTGCAAGTATTGCAATCCGGCCAAAAATGAAGTCTACAGTCGCAGGATGGCCAGTAAGTATTTCACCAGTTTCCTGACATGGTGGCATTTTATTTCAAAATTTCCAAAAGAATTTGATATCCTGCTTCAGTTTGAACTTAAAAGATAACTCATTTAAGTACTTGATTAATCTTAACATTTCAAAAAGAAACTGATGTGACAATCCTGAAGAGATTGAATCATTTTATTCTTCCAGATTTCAGTCAGTTGTGCCACATGGCCCTTGCCAACCTGACGGCCCAACAGCGTCTGATGGGTTCCAACAAGATTCTATTCTCCAAGGAGAAAGAGTTGATTCCATTTATCAATCAGAACTGGGAAGCACTGACACCAATGCAGAAACGGACAACAACCACATGGCATGGTACCATCGTCAAAGCCATGGTAAGACAAGTTGACAACTTTGTTCAAAAATTGAGTGTAGTTACCGAAGGTTTAGAATACTATTTGGAAGCAAACTTCAGCTGGGAAGTAGCCAGAAACAATCAGTGCTGTAGTCAAGGTCTCTTAAGACCATCACAAGACTTCACAAGACTGTCACAAGACCTTCAGTCTGAATTCATGTCACAAGCTTTATTCACATGACGGGCAACAATAGCATTCCTTTGTCATTGTTCATCTGTTACTTTTGACTGGTCTTCTGATGGTCTTGATCACAACACTGGAAACAAACTACATTATTACAGAATCATAGGCTAGTTACTTTTTTTCCTGCAAGTAAAATATTTTCCGTGCTAGCTGTAGAACTTGACAGAGCTGATGAAAAAAGAGTGATTGAACCAGTATGCTTGTATTCCAGATGAAAGACAGTGACATCTTCATTTATAAGGAGAAACCAGAGGCTAGCGAAGCCAGTGAAGAGGACTACCCACTCTTTGGACTCATTGATCAGGTCAGTGTCCTTGATGTTCTTACTCAGTCTTTGTATAATTACTTCTCTAAAGGGTTTCTCCCCCAGGGCCTGTGGTAAAAATGCATTACAATTTAGAGGGAGCCTATTATTGCTAATTCCAAGGCTTTATGGTTGTGCACATTTACTCATGGATCATCCTGTCCTGATCTTATCATCCTGTCTTGTAGGATTTGACAAAGATCAGTCCAAACTATGACCCGTCCAAGCAGAGTGGGGCCATCAAGGGAGAAGTCAGCCAGAAACTCAGCTCTTCTCTGTCAGCATCGCTGAATGGTGAGCACAAAACATCAAACTTTTTAAACCGTTTTAGCTGAGGCATTCTGCCTGAACAAAAGACTCCAGCAAATAAAGTATTTAACACTTGCACATTTATTTATGCTGTTGTCATCTCTCATATTTCAGCATGCATTCTGTCATTTCATCTTGTGAATTTAACTTTGCTTTCCTGCTTCGATACCATAATGGCACTATTTTCCCCTGTGTTCTTTACAGGAAGCAGTCTGTCATCTTCCTTGGGCAAGAGTCGTGGAACCAAGAGGAAGGGTCTGGAAAACAGTCAGAATATCACGTCAGGAAAGAAGACCAGGAAGTAAGTAAAAACTCTGGGTCTGATAAATGTAGTTTGTTATAATCTGTAATTGTATGGCATTCCTGTAATTCCCTTATTGTTTTGTGATGGTTCCTACACAGTCCTTTCTAAATTAATGTCCTTCTCTCCCCAGTGACATGATAACAGCACAAAAGCTACCCCCTCATGGATACCCCTTGGAACACCCCTTCAACAAAGATGGTTACCGATACATCTTGACAGAACAGGACCCCCACGCACCAAGCAGTGCTTTTGAAGAAGATATGTGGATAGGGAAACCTATTCCTGCTTTGCTGTATCGGATGGCATTACCTAGAGAGGTGTACTTGGCATCACATGACAGAGGTAGGTAGAGTAGTGATGAAATAAAAATGCATTCCTATAAAAGCATGTTTGGAAAACTTGTAAGGTAAAAAAGTCAGCATAAACTTTCCCAAAATAGAGATTGAATCTTTTTTCTTTTACAGAAACAAATTGCAGACAAATAAGTTAAATATTTCTGATATAAAATTCTGAATTAATGATATTTGATACTCCTACTTTGAACTTACATTGTATGGCTTTAGATGAGCTTCTTTAACTTGCCCAGTAAAGTTACACTGGAGATGAAAATGCCTCCTTTTTATAGCTCCTCAACTGAAGATCTCAGAGAACCGGTTGTCAGTCACAGGAGAGAAGGGTTACTCCATGGTCCGATGCACCCATGGTACAAACCGAGGAGCGTGGTATATGGAGATGACAATTGATGAGATGCCGGAAGGCACCGCTACCAGGATTGGATGGTCACAACCATTAGGTAGGAGCTGGTTCAGGTCCTGGAAGTAAGCAGGTCCTAAATGAGTCCAGGCCAGACCTGTAGGTGGCAAGACCTGTTGGTGGCAATTTGTGGCCTTCCTGAGAGGCAAGAAAGATAATTCATGTGTGTGAACTCAGTGCTTGTAAATAGCTGAGCGCAGGTGCAACTTGTTTTTATTTGAATGTACACAAAACCATGTCAGAAGAATGCACTTGATAACAGGTGTACAGCACAAATGAAGCGGGGGGTGTTCTCCAGTAACTGGAGTGGTATACATTTTGAATACCAAATACATTTTTCTGCAGTATCCATGGAATCAATCGTTTACTCGACATCCTGCTTCATTTATTTTTAAAGCTTGCATATTAAGAGATTTACAAATTGACTGCCGTGACTCCATTCAGGTAATCTGCAAGCACCTCTTGGTTATGACAAATTCAGCTACTCGTGGCGAAGCAGGAAAGGAACTCGCTTCCATCAGAGCATTGGTAAACACTATGGAGAAGGGTATACTATTGGAGATGTCCTGGGACTGTACATTAAACTGCCAGGGAGGGTAACACCTGATAAGCTTCTTCCATTAACATACAAAGATCGGGTGAGTATCCATAGCTAGTAAATGTGCTTAATAATTTTACCCTGCTTTGCAGGTCCACTGTAGTAGGCCTGTAGGCTAGACTAAATGTTTACCATTTCCCATTTGCTGCATAGTTGTCTCTTATTACATCTGGAATAGATGAAGTAATCAGAAGTTGATGATGGTTGTTTTCTCAGGCTCTAATCAAATTCAAGAGCCATCTGTACTTTGAGGAGAAGGATCAGGTGCAGGAGACAGAGAATGCCCTGAACCTGTGTCCAGGAACAAAGGTAAGACAGTTTGATATCAGCATAGGTTGCTTGGTTGAAGTGACAGAGTAGGGTAGTTGTGCAGTATCTCTGCTGCAATTGTAAAATCAAGTTCACTTTGTAATACATGTGCCTGGTTCTTATTGACGTTTTTGCCATAGATTGCCTTTTACAAGAATGGGGTCAGCCAGGGAGTAGCATTTGAAGACATCTTTGAGGGAACTTATTACCCAGCCATTTCACTCTACAAAGGGTGCACGGTAAGTCTTGGCCTTTTATCAACAATCTTTTATTCATGTAATAAACCAAGTTCTCCCAAATTAATCTTGGACAATTATCACAATACCAATTACTGCCAACCAAGTACATGTAGTTGCATTTTCTTACTGTCCAAGCTATATATGTTTATAGATACTGCTGACTAGCCAAAGTAAAAACTTCCAGAGGCTTGTAGTTATTAATGTACACTTGTGACATGCACGGTGACAGGTTCTGCAGGACAAGTCAGTTTTTCTTTTAATGCATGGCCTTGTAGAGAAGCGAATTTTGTCCATCGTATTGCTATTTGTCATTTTTGTCAGGTTTCGGTCAACTTTGGCCCACAATTCAAGTTCCCCCCACAAGATCTTGAAGACTTTCTTCCAATCAGCGAGCTTGCCCATCGTGCCATGGTGGAGCAGACATTGGCCAATCTAGTCTACCATGTGGACCATGAACAGGACTTTATAGATGCTAGTAAGGGATTGTTACCACAATCATGTTGATGAAAACTTCCTCAAAGACACTTCAGTCAAAATTCAAGCTTTTCAAGTGTACAGAACCTACAGTTGACTTGCAACCAATTAAGGTTACAGTAATGACTCTTGGCCAGAAATCAGTGTGTGCCATACTGGAAATGATGGCAAATAGTGGGTGGCCATAATGGATTTGCAGCTTACTGTTTACATTAAGGGGATAGGATGGAGAGGAAGCCTCATTATTAATTGCCAGATGAAAACAGCTTGCAGTTGGCTACAGTAGATGGGTGGCCAAGGACAACTGGTGGCCTCCAACGAGTGGCCTCTAACTAGTGGATTCCAACTAATGGTCACAACACACAGGCCTGTGAGTGAGCCACACTGGATGAACAGCACCGCAGTAACAGTTGATAACCACACCAAACTTAGCCAGGGAGCCATTGTATAATTTTATTTCTTCAGTGGACAAACAATCATACTACCAAGTTGTTGAAGACAGCTTACTTTGGGTACCTTGTCATCTTGTGCTTTTTTCAACAATAGATTGCCTGCTTAGCCAAAAGCACTTTCCCTTGATGGTCACACTTTTATTTGTTTCAGTGTCTCTTTTTCTTGTTTGTTTCGGTAATCAGATCTTCAACTGTCAGGTTTCTGGTCTCACAAAACCCTTTGAGCAAATATATGCAGACTGTAGCAGACTAAATCAAATGACCGCTGGCATTCCCCCCCCAAATTTCTTCTAGTAACATTTATTTGTTTCAAGTGCCTCAGTCATTATTCTGCAACAAGTTTGGCTATCTGTCATAAAACTCATAGTTGATATTTTACAGTCTTTAAAATTCCACACAAAGCCTTCTATTGACTATTTTGTTTGATTGCTTGTGGCTTTTATCTGTTCTTGAAATAAAATGAATATTAATTTTCGCTTAGTGTAGGCCAGTGGATAATGAACAATGAGTAATGTATAGTCCTTTTTAGGGTTCTTTTGTACATTTTACATTAAAAGCTACTGTCATACGAACCTGTGTGTAGTTTTTTGTTTGATTTGAGTACATTTTTCAGGTGTACATAATTGGATACAGAATTGTGAGAATCCTTACAAGCAGACATTAATTTTACAATTTCAGCTGTACTGAACATGTAAAGTGGACTTGTAAAATGTGAATCAATGTTAGGTTGTCTAAGATCCAGTGCCATTTTACATGTTGCATGTGAAGAAGACTGACTTTTATTAAGGTAGAAATAGGTTATTTTGGTGGCTTATGCAGCATGTGTTTTCAATTTAATTCGAAAAATCAGTGGGGCTCTTGCTCTTTAATTCAGTGATCTCTCTCCCTCTGTACCTAAGTTCCAGTTGTAGCCTTGTCACCTCAGTCCGCAATTGTTCTGTATCAGTGAGTGCTTTCTTCACATCATTTTGGAGTTTCTCATGCACGACTGTAGTTAGAGTGTGGATGCTTTTATTTGCTTGATCAAGCCTGTGAGAGATGTTGTCAATTTTCTTGGAGAATGCATCTTTTTCTTGGCCTTTCTTAGAGTCATTTAGTTGGTTCTCGTGGCGGGCGATCATCTTGCTGATGTAAGTGATGAGCTCGTCAAGTTTATTCTGCTCAGTTTTGAGTGACATGATCGCCGATTGGTTGTCTCTGCAGAATTTCCTAGTCTCCTTTAAAGCCGCTATAATGGAGGACCGCCCCTGGACAAGCTTCAGGACCTCGAAGGAGCTGTCCGAGAATTCCTCCCTCATGAATTTGAGCTGGCCTTTAATTTTCTCAATGTCGACGGAGATGTCGCGAACAGTTTTCGACATGGTAGGGTCTGCAAAGACCTTGGAAAGTAAAAGATTTTTTTCTTGAATCTGACTCAGAAAAGTGGAAGAAGTTGAAGTTAAATATTGCAACCTGGAGTAAACTTTACATATCCTCTCTTTGTTACCCAAGCAACAAGAGTTGAAAGTATAATGGATAGGAAGTTATCGCTAAATTCATTTCGCGTCCGAAAAGTAATTTCACACCCCATCCCCTCTGAGCACGGTCCACACTGGGACATACACTCTTTACAATGAAAATGGTCACTTACTTGGACAGTGGGAGGGCTAACAATCATTGTTTTCCTGCCCTGGGTTCGTTCTATACTTTCATGTCCAACTGGCACGTCTCCTGGTGATAGAAATTTATGCGTCCTTTCTCCATCGTCTTTCCCCCCTTCTTTCTTGAGTAGACAGTGGGCCGTGCCCAGCCGACGGAGAGTTGGTTTTCTTTGTTGACAACGCAATAAAGACTCGCCTGAAAATACGACTCCTAAGTCCCATTCATGTCTGCATTGTTTCACAGTATTTTCAGCTGTAAAATTCCAAATTCCCGGAGACGAAAGGCTTGCATACATTCCACGGCGCCATGTGCTTTGTAGACGGCAGGCGACTGCTGCACTTCTCAACATGATGCCAAACTACTATCCAATGAAACAACAACCACACACACTAGAGGGCGTCGTCTTCGACACGTAAATCCAAAAGCATATTACTCAGGCTGCTCTAAATAGTAGCACTCATGCCATGGAAATAAACATGTTTTGACATTCCAGCTATCGTGTGAATTGGTACAGATCTTCATTTTTGATTTGCTTTTTTTCTGTTTGCTTATTCTAAACGTTTCGAGGATTGACGAATCGTGTACTTGTGCATGGTTGAGTGATATTGTGACGGCGTTATTGTGACGTAACAATAAAAGTTAAACACTGACCTGCCGTTTTCAAAACGGAACGCAAATCTTAGTTGTCAGATCACTTGGAAGTTTTGTTGTAAAACCTTGTAATTTAAAGCAGCATTCCCACAAGCAACGTAGCCTTAAATCTCAGGAGTCACACTTCCGGGGCCGTCCAGTAACTTGTCGACCATGATTGTTGAGATTTGTTATAATTGTACGCAGGTCTATGATGCAGCAACGCGCATTATGGGTGTACCCTACAGTAAACAACAAAATGCTGGGAAAACGTGAGACTGGTGCTTGGTAATAATTTTTTTTTAATTTAGTGGTGTCCGATAGGCATGAAGTCGTACATGGTCACTGTAAGAAGCAAATAAATCGTATTCTGAGGTATAGTCAGCAGGGATTAGAAGGTTATTAAGGAGCCGTCCATAAAGTGCGCACGCAGGGGGGGGGCTTGGTGCCGGTGCGTGTACTCCATGCGTACAGCTGGGAGTTGGGTTCAAGCACACGTCTTCAATGAATCTTCATCACATCAATACACTTTTTATACAAATAAATATCAGAATCAGTTTTCTGCATCGAAAAAACATTGAAACACTGTACCCTCCATAGTCCACCCCATCATTTATCCACCCGTGCCAACGCCCATTAGGGGCCTATTAGTAAATAGCAACATTACTCATGAAACGTACAGGCGCCCTCACGCCGTGCGGTCGTACAACCCTGTAATATTCTCAGAGTTGATTAACAATCGACGACTTATTTTTGGGCTATTACTCTGATGTGTATATGCTTACGGGGGGGGGGGGGTTGGAGCCACTGCGTACGCTATGCATTTCGTGCGTACGTACTTTATGGACGGCTTCTAAACGGGCTGACTGAAACAGTGGCAGGTGTGCCAGTCTGATACCAGAGAAGTATCGCTCTAAATAAGAATTATTGATCTAAATTACAAGTATGAGGTTTCAAAATGTGTCACTGCACTGGCGATCATTGTTTTCATTGACTGGGGTGTCATTTTCATGAATTAAAAATGAAATGTCGTCAAGAGGCACTGTCTCACCGATCTCCGTGGACTAGAATCAAGAGTTTCAAGTTGGACACGCCTCCCTGTTGTTTTGTTGTTTACGGGAATGACTTTATCTTTTGGGAAAGAATTCCGTGCTTTTTGCATTGACAGACTGTCCTAAGTTTACATAGAAAAGGTAAACTAACCAGAATACAGGGCTTATATTGTGATTGTCTTAATTGTAAATGGCTGCGTAAAACCGATAAGCTGTTAATTAACGTAGTTTTGATTTTAATTAACAATATCTTGCACATTTTGTTTATTAAAATTTAGATATTTAAGGTTAAATGCTGTGATCATCATGCATAGGACTCAGTCACGTGACTATCACACAAAGGAGCGTGCTGGGAGTCACAAACTTTTTTTGTGCATGCGCTGAGTGTCTCTTACAACTTGCCGTATGTGAGAATTGACATAGCACGACGCATCTAGTTAGAAGTCAAACGATAAGCTTTTCTAAGATCTGGCTCTCCAAGTCCCTACGTGTGATAGTCGACATTAAAACCCTACAAGACACTGAGATGTGAAACTGTATTTACTCCAAAAGATCTTAGGGATAAGACGAATCATTTCTGATTGAAACAAAAAATTCACTTTGTCCCCCCTTTTATTGATGTATTCATTTCCACGCCACTCCAAACTGAACCGTACGTGTAATCATAATATGAAACTATCCAGAATCAATACGTGTAAAGCAAGAAAATTAAATTAAAGACTGCTGATTATTTTGGGGACCACATGTCACTTGTAGATAGTTTGACGGGCAGAGTTTGACAGGACCTCGAAACGGATATTCATCAGTTGCGGTCAGTGGTTGGTCAGCGTCACGTTAAGTTTCTGATTTCAGGGACAGATGGTCCATCCTCAGGTGGACGCTCTATAAAATGGGCTCCGTTGTCTCTCACTGGGAGAAGCTGGTGGCAGCCTTAACGGGATTTGTTCGCGCATAAAAATTTATTTCAGCACGAGTACTCATTGCTCTCCTAAGACACGTCAGGTAAGGATTTGTATCTGGTGGTGGTAATGATTTTATTGATTTCATAAAAAATGGCAGTATTACCAAATAATGGTATGAACAGTAGAGTGAATTTATAGAAAGAATTCTACCAAATGTTTCAAGAAATAATGGTTAACATTTTCCTTCTGTGAATGTCAGTACATGGCTGTATAGCATTGATGCTTGCTTAGTTGCTTCTAAGTGAGTTTCCCATGTTGGGTCAGGCATGCATGTGACCGGCATGTCTTTTAATTTCCCACTGCAAAATAGAATTTTTGTCCAGGTACGTCAAAATAACTTCAACTGGGCGATAAAGACATTTTTTAAGTGAATGATCGATTTGTGATTATTCTGCAACAGTATTCAATAGTTTAAACATTTAACTATCTGGTTTTTCATTCATAATCTTGGACGTCGGGGAGGAGAGAAAAAAGGACAAACAATGGAAAAAAATGAAAACAAATGAAGCCGTAAATAGAGGCAACAAAGGATGCAAATCACAAATCTGTTAAAAACTAACGGAAAACAGAAAATCCCCCTTCCAAAAAATGGTTCCCCCCCCCGGCCCCGGGCAAAATCCCGGCGACGCCCATTTTTGTAATCTATGCAATGGTTACATGCAATGTATCTGTCGTCAAAATGATTGAGCTCTTAAATTCTATGTCCCGTTGCGTAATGCACTCCCTGCTACTGAGTTTAATTTTCCTTTCAGAAAAAAAGGGCCGATTAAGACATCAGACATGCAGATGGTAGATGTAATGGCGATTTTCCTGCTGTTCTTTGCGGCAGCCCCGGGCCAGGCCTGTAGTCCTCCTAGATTTTGGAGACCCGAGAGCTTTAAAGACAGGTTGGGGCAAGCGTCGATTGTATTCCGCGGGAAGGTGACCAGTCTACCCGACCAGGGAGCCTCGCCGATCATGTACTCACCTCTGTACGACGCTACCTTCGAAGTTGACTGCTACTACAAAGGGATCATCGATTGGGGACCCAAGTCCGAAACTGTGGGGGGGTTCGGATGGGATGGTGGATTGTGTACGGGCAGCGATGTTGAAGTCGGCAAAAGCTACTTCATCTTCGCTGATCTCTATCCTTGGTCAGATGGTCTGACCGTAAGTCATATCAACATGCAGAGTGGAGCCACGGAGGAAACGGCCGGGCTCATCGCAGAGGTGGAGCAAGATTACGGCTGTTCCCAACCTCAACGATGAAGCCCTCATCAGTTTGCTTCACAACTTGCACGAAAACGGTGTTTTTGTGTCGAGAGTACTTTTGCTCTTTATTCGATTTTAAATTATGCATGACTTGAGACTTTGTTTAATACATATTAACTTAAATTTTTAGCTTTTTCTTGTTTTTGTGGTTGAAGTATGCAGCCATAATTATCCCGAACGGTTTCAATATATAACACAAGCTGAAGGACCCTTTGTCTCAATTTATCCAAGACTTTAATGAGAAAATACAATTTTGTCTTAAGTATAATCAAACTCCAGTTTCAACATGAATTCCATAATTTATTCTGTCACTGTTACATACATTTTAATCTAACGTATAAATTCATTGTTGGTAACACATTCCTTGGCGAATTATTTACGATTGGTCCTACACAATTAAAAAATTTAGTAGAGGCCCCCGTAATTAATTTATTTTCCCCTTATTTCTGTTTTTCCTTACTATTGGTGTTGGTGAAGCATTCAATAAAACTCAAACGAGAGTAAGTGCATCTACCAATGTCCTTACATTTTGAGTCCTTCCGGACAGCAGCAATTGAAAAAATGAGGCGAATAATGCAATACGTATCCGGTAACACTTGAAACAGACGGATGATAAAAGTCAGAATCAGAAGTAGAAGCCATTACTGCGGTGGTGCAACACTCGTGGACAGATGGTACGTGCGCGTTACATGCCTCTTCCACCAACAGGTTGTCGTGATTTGCCTAATACACGCGCGCGTCAAGTTGAAGAATTTTTAGGCAGGAATTGTATATTATTCCATGTCTAAAAAATGACAAGAATGGAATCTCCTGCCCCAACAATTTATCTTGATATTCTGAAGCATACTATATTAAAGACAATTTCTATTTACCGCTTGGAAGTTCGGAGGTTTCAGAATTACCTTTAGATAAAAAACTGTCCGCGACTGACGGCTTGAAGTTATAATCATGAAGTTGCAGATGTGAAACCAACCAAAAGCCTCTCAAATACAAGTAAAAATGTAAATTTTCAAAATTCCCCTAATAACTGAGGGAACTGTTTTATTATTCTGAGATAAATTATCTCATGGACAATTACTTCCCAAACAATACTTAAAATGCAGATTACCAAATGTACATCCATTCTTCAACATTCTCTCACTTTACAAAAGGTATCTTGATGGATACAAATTCCTAAACCAGGAAAAAGCTAGAAAACACTGAACTGAACAAAAGAAGCACTCACACACTATAAACTAATTCATTAAACGGCAACACAGATTTGGATTAACCAACTGAATTTATTGACCTTGTGGCTGCCTTGGCCTTCTAATGGCGCAGTTGCTCACAGTCCAAGCCCTACACAAGCAGACAACTGGACATGAGATATACTGCCCTCAGGTGGTTGTGACAAACTTTGTTAACTGTTGACCTGCATGCCTTGAGAAATAAGTGATGAAATGTTAATTGCTCTGAAACTAATTAAAAAGCCTTGCGGTTCAAATTTCACTGTGATATAATTCTGTCACTCCACAAGTCCACTTACATGGTTCAGAATTTCTAAGGAGACACTGCAGACAGCGAGTCTGCCTGATTCAGAGAGATGATTTCTCTGCATGAATTTCTGGTAACCAGAAAGCATAACTTTAATCACAGTACCCGTTTGTATTTAGTTTTAGCAAAGACACACACAAAATGATTTCACTCTTATTTCAGATTACAAAAATAACTAGAAATCTATGAAGTCTGTCAAATTTTTTTACAACACACGAATGTAGAAGTATGTAGAGTAAAAAGAAGCCCTCAAAGGTGACAGTAACTATTAAATGACATACATATGATACTAATGAGGGTTTTTAAGATAATATCAACCTACTTCTAGATAGTGGCTGTTCTGAGCATTGGCTGAGATAATGTGTCATTACGGAATTGGATACATGCATGTTGACGGTAGTAAGGTACTCTTTTCCATTTGCTTCTGAACAAGACATTATTAACAAATCTCAGTGACTGATAAGTCCAAAGCCAAAATGCTACGAGAAAGTAGACATCATTCTTCAATCAAAACTTTAAAATGTACTTTTTAAATAAAATTTAATTTTTTCCTTTTACACTCTTGCCCGACGGCATTACCATCAAGTATTTGCAAGTGTGAGAATTCAAGCAGCCAGTGAGATCAGGCTGACTTGCTTCTTACTGCCAAGAAATCCACAATTGGACTTCTTGAGATACTTCCCAGGTTATTAAAAAGGAAACAAATACAAATAAACGAAAAATAAACCTCAAGTAACAACCACACCAAAGAAACAAATAAAACAAGTAAGTTTTCTGACTGGAATGTGAAATGATGGACAGGAATAAGAAGCACTGGTTTTAACATAAAATTTCACTACAAATGCAGGAAGTTATAATAAAAACTTGTCTTTCTGTCTACACTTTGTTCCTACATTTTGTATATCAACATTTACAAAACAAGAGAATATATCCACGTTCTCCCAGGTTAAATGTCCAATAATCGAGGACCAACAATACAGGGAAATATTCCAGTGGTTCTATGGGATAAATGTACATTTATATACATTATTTCAATTTACAACATTGTATGAACAGTAAATAGTTTGATCCCAAGATACAACGGGACAATTCTGAACATTGCTATACAGACTACACAGAATACATGGGGTCCAAATCCAGCCAATATGAAGATGTAGCAGGTTTGTAAAGCAAATTAGTGGGTGGTTCACATCCCCCTTATGGCATTGTCAGCATGTTGCAAGATGGTTCATCTGCAAAGCAACTAGCAAGGTGTTTGTGCGTCTAATCAAAATAATACAGTGCTGGCTTGTCAGCAAGTTATCCATTCTATGGTTCAAATCCTCCAATGGCTGTTTCAAGTCAACCGGTCCGAGCACTTAACACAAACTGTCATAATCCGTGGTTTGAATCCAACCACAGCTATGGAAAAGGTCGACTTTATGAAATCTCAACCACTACCTGCCATATGCTGTCAGAGTCCACGCTTCAAGCACCACCGTATGCCTGTGCTAGCCCATACAATGTCATTCAGTCATTCCTCCACTTGAAGGGTCTGATGTTCAACTCCCACCACAGCAGTATTATGCCATTGCTATAACACTTTAAAGTAACCAGCTTGAGTGTTCCCATACTGATTAACTGGTGCATCCATATGTGTTGATGAGCCTGGAATGCCGATGCTGATACCAGTTATGCCGGTCATTATCCCTGGGTTACCTGACAAGAAAAAATTTAAAGAATATAGCGTTTGGATTAAATGCAAGATAAGACGGCATTTTTCCCGTGATGAATTGATATATTGCCACAGGCTTGGTGCTGATAAACAAGCTGAAAAATAATTTTCAAGTCTTTGTTTCCAGTCAATGATTTCTTTCATGTTGTTTTTCTGTCCCAACAATTTGCAATAGCATGCTGCCTTATCAAAGGCAGTGTTCAAGAGGCTTAGAAGTCAGTGCTGGTAAGCTGTAAGTTGTGGGTTCAGCTCATCTGCATTTCAAAATTAGCATCACTGAATTATATCAGATTATCTCAGGCAGTGATGACAGATGTTGTTTTTCAAATCGAAACTCACCAACGGCTGGAGGAGCTGCAGCTGTCGATTTGAAGAGACTGAAGGATTGCGGAGTTGAAGATCGTCGATTGAGAACACCAAATGGTGTATCAGACTGAAGAGAGAAATGGAAGATACAATTTCAAGTATACTTTGAGAGAATGCCTCAGAGAACTGCTCAGCATTATTAAATGATGTGCTTGAAAATTTGAAGATCAAGGAGACAATGTATTGTGTAATATATTTATCTGCAATGTTTGTCTGCTCGCATGTATCTGGCCTAACTTGAAGGTATAAGAGCTTACAACTGATTGTAATTGAGATGAAGACTTGATATACAAAGTTTGAATGTTTTAAAGAGTTTGCATGAATTCAGAAGGCAAACGGAATCAAACTGTTCTCAAAATAAAACCAAAGAAAGGAATAATTTTTATCAGTACTTACCCTGAATGTGTGTGTTGTATTGGGTCTTGATTCTGATATAAATGTTGCTGACCGATCTTTTAACCTCAGTCCCCTGTCGTCAGCTGCTGCACTTGATATCCGAAACTTAGCAGATGATCTCTGTGTTGACAAAGGATGACAAACAACAGATGAACAATCTAACATTTGATTTTTAACCTTTCCAAAACCAACACAATCGCGAGTTGATATTCTTGGTTGCCTTCAGTCCCATTCGCGAGTTGAATACTTCTGTCTGTTTATTTCTATCTTTTATTTATTTGGCGCCTTTCAAACTGGGGCCAATTTCATAGAGCTGCTTAAGCACAAAATTTGCTTAAGCAGGAAAAAACTTTGCTTAATAAACAAACATTACCAGCTCAAACTCCCTCTGATTGTCATGCTAAACCCCCCCCCCAAAAAAAAGCTAAATACAATTCCAAAACAATACACATCACATGGATTTTTGGCTGGTTACCTGATTTATCAAGTAAGGTTTTCTCATGCTTTAGCAAATTTTGTGCTTAAGCAGGTCTATGAAATTGGCCCCACTGTTTATACATACTCTTCAGCTTGCAATATTGTCATACTCTCAGTGAGGCAGCAAGACTAAATGTGTGCTTGATTTAAATTGAAGCCAACTGATGCTGATACAATTTGAATTACATTGAGTACTTACACTGCTGGAGTTATTGGACGGTTTATTCTCATTGCCATGACCATCTTGCTTGGTCTGCATCTCTTGAACTGTCTCTATGGGAGGCAGGGCCGTGTTACGACTCCAGTGGTAGGGTGGGGAGGTGGCTACCCCAGGGTGGGGAGGGGAGCCCAGTCTATCACTAGCTGTGGTTCTATGGGTGTCAAATGGAGATTCATGGATGTTGATCTCGTATAGTTGACTCTTTCCAAAAGTGATAACATTTTGAATGATATACATGTACATAGGAATTGCAAATTTGCTTTTAAGTAGCATTTAACTTGTTTGGATATGTTTTCTTGTGAAGTAAATATACATATGAAATAAAAAGATGACGAGAGAATATAAAAAACCAACCAATAAAACCATTTTCTACCTGAATGTCTTTGTAACTTACAATCTCTTTCCAGTGATAATCCCCTCCATATTGGGTGTCTTAGCACGGTCAATCGGTCGTAATCTACCCCTACCACGGGCTGACGTTAACCGATAGTTGTAGTTGTCTGTGGTCTTGACACTAGTTGGTCGGTTTGACCGGTTGGCACTTGAACCTGGTCGGTTTACATGGATACCTATCTGCAGGGGTAACGTTTGCAGTTCCTCCCTAAAATAACAGATAGATTTGTTTGCATTCACCATTGATTGATTAACTAAATCAACAATTTGACGTACTAAACTTCCGATGTTAGTCAAAATATGTTCCTGTTAGTTGATCAAAGGTTATTTTACAACGACCTTAGAATCAGCTGGTGGATCAACGCCTTCCTGTTAGCTGAGTAATGATATCTTAATTGATCAACAACTTTCCACCACTCCTCCTCTGCGAGTCAGGTGATCTTATTACTCCCCTAAGGAATGACAATAAAGGTCCAATCCAACACCATACCTTAACCTGTCTGGATCAACTGAATTGAATCAGTTCAACCTACCCAAGCACAGAGGGAGCCCTGGTGTCTTTATCATTGGGTCTGTTGTGCAGTGCCTTGGATGATATAGTCATTACACCTGTCAAGTTCTGACGATCCACTAATGAGCTGTTAAGTGATGGCGCTGTGTTCAGTCGCTGAAAGAAAAATATCAATTAAAATATTAATAATGCCCAAATGGGTGTAGCACAGCACACTACACTCATTATATCATCGGTGGCACTAATTCTATATAAGTTCACACACTTACAAACAATAACTGTCGGTGTGTCAAAATCTGGAAAAATCTCAAGTATGATCGACATGTAAATTATCCACTCACCCCAGAGCCCATGGGGGCTAGTTTATTTGACGGACCATCCAGTAATCCCCTACCCAAGTGAGAACCAAATGGATAGGGGCTGTAACTGAGATCAAAGGATGGCTGGACAGGATGAAGAACAGATACTGAGGAAGTAACATCTTCTGGGTTGGAAAACTTCTTAACTGCAAAGGCAAAGAAATGAAAAGATACCACAGGTTAGAATATTTTAGGTACTGAAGACAGATTTGTCTCTCTTGTCTTCAAAAGCCCTTATTATGGTACTCCTGGTAACAGAAGTGCATTTGACATTTCAGGTTTAAACCTCCATGAACCGTACTCCATGAACCACAACAAAGCAGATGTCAAGGCTGAGTTTACGGGGATGTTACATGGTCAGTTAAAATCTCAGCAGCAGCATCATATGGTTAGATCCAGTTTAAAAATAAATGCTATCTTACTTTCTGACTGTAACTCCCAATGTCTGGTGAGCAGTAACCTCATCCATCCAACCACCTCAGTCCACATTACATCAAAACACTGGCTGTAGATGGAGTTCTGTACACAAGCATTTGGGGTCAGCGGTGGGAAGCCTGTTCTCCGAGGGGCATGGTAACGCTTCTGTTCATGACTGTCTTCCTCCCTGAAGAAACAGATCATCCGGAAACAAATATTCAGATAAAACTCTGCTTTTTGAATTTGAGAACTATTTCTGTCTCAAAAGGTAAAGTAGCTTACCAGGGTTTCAAGCGATCATAGGCAAAGTATTCCTCGATGACGCCATCAGATTCCAAAATCTCCTCCTCCATGTCTGCAAGCTGCTGTCTCACTGTTTCATCTCGACTTGATCCCATGGTAGCCACAGGGTCAAGAGGTCGTAGGCATGTACCCACAATACATAACCTGTGGGGGAAGGGGCAGACAATAAGAATAAATGGAAACGCTTTTCACACTTTGCTAGACACAGACTTGGCAGTTTGTTTCAAATACTTCTTCTTTTAGTCATTTTAAGAATTGATTGTAAACACTGATGCTGAAATTATTTAAGGAGCCTCACCCTTGTGGGTCTTGACTAGAATCTGATGGATATTCATTTTCTCCTATATCAACAAGTTCCTCTGCCGTTGTTGGTCGCTGAGCCGTACGGGAGACGAACTGATAGCCCAGATCACATGGTGTGATCAGCTGCTGACCAAGAATTCTGGAAAAAGCAAAGCAGTAACATGAACGTATTAGATATTAACTTTTTAACATGGCAGTACAGAAACAAAAAACAAGCACCTGTGCAACACTACTGATGTACAGAGTACACATCAGAAATTCTCTGTGGACTTTTCTGTGATATTGATATGCCATTAGCTCCCTAACAATCAATATTTAGAGCAAGGAATGGCTGTGTGATATGGACATGAATGTCCTTAAGCCAAATACCCTTTTGCAATTGCTTCCAACAAAACATGCTTCCATTACAAAAACCAACATATTTCCATGTATTTCTTTTGGATCTATCCTGAGGTATCATCACAGTCCTTTAGCTTTAGTCTCCAACAGAGTGTCATCTCAGTCTCAGTAAGTGGTAGAAAATCTTCTCAGTCCAAGAGTAGAACCAAAACAATCAAGTATTAAGGAATTGAACCACAGTGCAACCAGAGGGCTATGAAATATTTGTTGCTCCTAAATGACTGCTACAGAGATACAGGAAGGGGACTATCCATCTGTGACCAGTGACCCCTTACCTCAAGTGTGGAAATCTGGAGTTCCACTCTTTACATTCATTTTCTAGTTGTACTGAGGTAGTAGCGTTTTTCTGTCCTTCAAACAGCATGTCATCAATCTCTTGAAACATCCTTTGCACCGTCTTACTAGCTTGCTTGTCAAACTCCTGGAAGCAATATAATGCAACACTTGTTTATAAAGATTGTCTAATGGATGAAATTCAAACTTTCACATGAGAAAGAAGTGTAAAAAAAAGATTTTGAAAAACTTACAAAGAAAAATTTTGAGCACAAAACCTGATGCTGATAACATGATTATAAGATGCATATTTATCTCAATCTGGTTTGAAACATTCCAAACTTACATCATCTGCCCAAGAGAAGAGACTACTCCTCTCCGTTGAGTTTCCAGATGTCAATCCACCACTGTTAGACATCAGTAAGAAGCTAGGCCTCTCATCATCTGATGGTGAAGACATCCCACTTCCGCAAGGTGTAACATAGCTATTAATAGCTTCATTGACACTGTTGAGGTAGTGCATAGGAATGAGGTCATCTGGCCGCTCTAGGGAGGGATAGTTGTCTGACCTCGAGGAGATGCCTCGTCTAGAGTGGAAACAAGAAAAACTACTCAAAAACCACCAAATTCCCAACAAAACTTTGGTAAATCAAAAAAGACACAAACTAAACAAAAAACAAACAAATCTAGTACCACCAGTGATCTCCATGCTCCAAGCAGGTACCATATAGTACTAGTACATGTACAAGTAATCATTTGATTTAATAACTAGAGATACTATGAACAAACCCTAAATTTTGCACCCAGCGTTTCTTTGATATCTTACTTTCCACTTTATCATCAAGACCAGCGTGGCAACTTCATGGCCAACTTCAATAAGCATGGTAATTTCCCCAGCTGTTTCTTTTCTTTCTTATTTTTCCAGTTCTTTCAAAGTCAATAAATACAACATTGTTTCAACAACCTCCTGCAGAAATACATGTAACAAACCAAAAATTAAGAAGACAAAAGATGAAAAAACAACACAACTTTGGAAAGTGATGGGCTAACATCTGTAAATGTTCACTTAACACTTATCACATGTGTGCAAGACACATGTACCTTGCACAGGTACCAACAGAACCATACTGTAGGGTGGCTTGAGAATTTATGTATGCACATGAATGATGAAAAGGACATGTATTTATGTTAATCAGATAGCTGAAGGGTACATCTGCAGCAATGAAGCACAGCTAATAACATTTACATTTTATTTCAACTACAGATAAGAGCCATTACATTAAATTTTATGATACTGCACACAAGTACATTCAACCAGCCTGGCATATCTGATTGAAAACGGTATTACCATACCTTTAAGTTTGGGATATACATAAGATATAATTCAATCATATTGTACATGTATGTCCCTTAGGGCTGTGTAGTTCTACGCTTTCTCTTTGTGGTGTACATACACGTACATTAAGTGTAGATCCATTAAAAGCATGCAGCCATAACCACTAGTCATTACCTCTGTGACCATTTAGATGCATGTTATGGATTGCATAAAGAATAGGCCAAGATATCATAAAAGGTTTCTGTCATTGAAAAATGACCCTCCTGTATATGATGTACACTGAATGGTTTCTTTGAATAGCAGAGAGTACAACACATGGAAGCTTTTGTTGGAAGATTTTCCATTTACAAAAATGTACCAGTACTAAATTGAAACATTTACAGGTGTACCGGTATGTTCCAGTCTGACTTTGAAGTACACATATATGTACATGTACATGTATTTCCTACATTTTACAGCCTTTTCAAATTTCCCAAATGAAGAATGTGACTACAAATTGAAGACAAGACTGGCAAAGTTTATTGTATATCAATTGAAAATGGGATATGGAATGAGACTGTTTTGAGGGAAGGTTAATATTGTTACTCTCAAGTCTAAAACTAAATTCCTAAAGACCTTCATCACAGAGTTGAAATTCCATGCCAGAATACAGCGTTAGCATAAATGTGCATATGTAGTTCATGTTGGCACTCCACAACTAGCCTTTTGAAGGTGAGTATTCAGCATACAGGATACTTGACCATGGCGCCCCATGCTACCTGAACACTCCATCTTCAAACATCCCCGCCTTCCATTACCCTCCACCAAATGGCTTTTTCGCGTGTCCAGAACATATGTTGCAAAGAGAAGTATCAAGGGCCTGGTTGAAATCAATCACTATCGATGGAGGACAGTCGTCTTAACTCAAGAGGGTCGCATGTTACAAGGCTAAAGCCCTGTTGGCAATGGTCTTTTTTCAGTGGATTTTACCGAACTGATGGTCTAATGTGACCATTATCTACACTTGGCCTTTCGAAACAGGAAAATTTTACCAAGATCACGGGAGAAGTAACCGAGCTGACAGTGCAATGACTTACAATGGCAATTTGCAAGACCTTTCTGCATTTGTTTCCATCCTTTGACACAAGGTAACCGCCCTCATCTGGCAATGGTGCACTCTTAACACCACTAAATCTTTTCACTATATCAATAATGAATTCTGCCATGATTGGGACCAAAAGAGGAACAAATTTACTGGAAAATATTTACCAAATGCCACACCACGGTGAAAGGTGCAATGTACAATGCATATGCGTATTTCCTTGTGCATGCCCTTGTGCTCAGGCTGGATGTATGCTCTACTGGGCCACTTTCCCATGCTTTCACTGACTTGCAATGTCCATACCAGACTTTCTGTCTCGGGAATTTTTCTTGGGCATAAGTTGGCCGGTAAAAATGACCACACAGCTTAGTAAAGAGGAAAACTTTCTCGGATGTCCACACTGGACTTAAAATGGGAAAAGTAACCAAAAGTAAAAGTCCAGTGTGAAACGGCTTAACTCACTCGGTGGACACCAAGCATTATCCTTTTCAGGACCTGATAACCTTGATACCTCACCTCCAGAGCTCATTTCTAATAGCAGATTAATCCTGAAGTTTCCACAAAGACCACACAAATGCCAGCAATCAATACCAACACCAAAAAAGTTGCAGTATTGTACCCAAAACGCATCCTGCACTATGGTTGGGAAGAGCACATAAGCTCATGTCTGCACCGCTACATGCAAGTACATGTACCTCGAAGAAGCCACAATTAACATCAGAGAGAAAACAAAATGCTACGCACACTTCACTCTAAGGCTGTCTACACATAAAATTCAGTAAAAGTCAATAAATGACTCACTAAAATGTTCGTAATTATTTCACAACTAACTAATTAAAAGACACAAAAATTAAAATTTACCCAAGAACCACAAGGCTGTGGACTTTCACTACCTTTCTTCTCATTACAAGAAATGTGTCAACAGCAGAACACTGGATATACATGTAAACTGCCTGGTCTGAGCAGCTGCATGTACTGTACATAGATTGCAGCTTGTCCCACTCAACAATGAGTTAGTTCAGTACTCCAACAGCACACAGCATGCACAATGTTCAGTGCATCAACCTGTGTGCAGTATGCTGACCATGCCCAGTCAGCATTGCCTGATGGTCACAAGGCAAGACTCATTCTACGAGTGTACAACAACAGTGCAAATATGCACTTGGGGAGAACACAGTGAATGGTCATAATAAATACTGTGGGCATGAATCTGGCTTCTTATGTACAGACGCTGTATTATCGTACATGTAAGTCTATTCAGCGATCCCACTGCTTACAAGACAGAGGAAATCAATGCACTAAAAAAAAAACTTGAAAGCACATCCTCTCAATTATAAGAGCAGTGTGTATTCACATCACGGAAAACGTGTACGATGTACACGTGCATCATCTTTATACCAAAGAAATGTGATTGAATAAATTATTTATGTATGTATGTACCGGGGGTATGTATTCAATACTCCACAGGGGTAACACACAATCACACAAATAAGAAATATGTCATGTGTCTGTACATGTACTGTCTGCCTGGTGCTGTTATCTGCGCAACCCTGACATGCATGTTCAGATGTACAGTACATGTATGTACATAACTAGTCTCGGCATGGCAAATGGTTTCCATTTAAAATTTTTCTTGGGAACTTTGAAATAAAAAATAGCCACTTGTTATTGTAAGGATAAAAGTCCAATTGAACTGAATGAAAACTAATAATTTCAGAGAATATTTCTTTGTCTCCTCCACAAATTAATTTATCATGGCATTTTATGGATGGCAGTTGGTCCAAAATCCTGCCATACAATTTGGTCAGCCCCTGTCTTGATTAGGTCAAGGATGTCTCTGTTAACACTTGTTCCTATGGCATAAGCATCAAATTACAGGCACTCACTTCACACTTGGGTGTAATAGGAGTTTCTCTTGGCCAAGTACATGTACATGTACACAGTGTGAAAATTACATCCATGGGCAGTATTAGAGGGGGTTTTATATGCTATGCAAGGAGTTTTATTTTCATTGCTGACCTCAAATGACCCCCATTAGTGCAAAAAAAAATAGTAATACTACTGGCCTATATACAAGTACTGCATAGGGTGGGGCGCAATATGAGACTTCATGTAAATCTTTCTGTAACTGCCCAAAGAGAAAGGTTCACATACATGTACATGCACATGTAAAATGATTAATTTCTTTGTCACATCAATGAGAAGAGTTTACATGTCTGACTACCATAGGAGACCAATTGAACGATCTACGTGTACTAGTAGATACATGTACATGGTTTTGTTTTAAAGGAATTGTGAATTTATGGTGGACATGTACATGTATGTGCACCTGACAATGTCCAAGTACTTTTGCAGTTTTACATAAAACCTTCCAGTAAAATTCTGTGGGAATGGCAAAAGACAACCTTGAATATTTTGGAACCACACATTGGGAATCTTACAAAGTAGCTTTGAACTCACTGGGTGGTCAAAGATCTGAGGCTGCAATAACAGATACAATTTCCTCAAGGTTTTCACTAATTAAAAACAAAACAAAAGTTACCCTTGAATATTTCAAGGAGCTACTTAGGTTTCAACATAATCATAACCAAACAGTAGGAATCATACACAAGGTACCTTATTAGGTTAAAAGCTGGTGGTGATGTAACTTGGTTCTGGGGGACATGTCAGTGACTTAAACAAAGAACACACAAAAACATCTGAAATGGGCAGCATTTAACAGCTTTTCCTCCTAAAAGTCACAATTCTTTAAGTGAGACAGACAGGTCAAACAAACCAAAGGAAATCTAACACTTTTATTAATCTGCATGCTTTTCTACTAAGGAATATTTTTCTGTATGGCAGGTGCTTGAGTGATATAGTATAGATCAAAGACAGCATGCACCATACCGGTACTTAAGTTAGGGGAATAGAGGAGGTTTTAGCAAGGAGACCAAGGAATGCCACAAGATGGATCAGCAATCACTGTGCAAGCCATACAAACTGGTTGTCAAGCAAACTAGTCTGATGAAAGGATTCTGAACTATACTTGAGCAAAATGAAATCAAGGTATGCAGGATGTGGCACATGAATGCTAGGGAGCATTCAATACTGAGACAAGTACATGTACAATGTACATGTACATACACTCAGTCTTCATGATGATGCATGTAGATACCATGGAAACTACCGGGGTAACAACCAACTGCAAATGGCCTATAAGTCTTCCATCCTTCGAGATGCATGTAATGCCAAGATGCTTTATTCATGTGTGGTATTACAAAAAAACATTGCTATTCAAATCAATTTGATCTGGTGACTTGGTTTCCCGGACCATTAAACTAAATTCCACCTGTTTGCATACTGCAGCACTAATCAGTCAGCTACAGGCTGTGTTGACTCACTTTGAGCAGCAGCTGGGAGGTTTCTCAAGGATTTTACACAATAAATAATATCTTTAGGAATTATTGATGTGCCCAGTGGATCTAATTTGTTTTGCTCAGAACTGATCAACTGCATTGGAACACACAACAGTATTTTGGCCTACATGTATCAGATTAAACATTTAAAAATCAAACTAAAAATCTAAACAAATACAGTAAACACAAAAGTGTGACTTTTTCTAACACTAATTTCTGAATATGATGATTGAATATGAAAAAAACTTTTCATTCAGTTACACAGGAAAAACTGAATTATGTTAGTGTATGATGTTTGTATACATACATGTAAACTGTACATAGAATGTACAAACTGACAAGCTGACAAAGATTTTTGAAAAAAAAAACTGTGCAGATCCAAACAAAATGTCATTTGAAAAAGGAACAATGTGCATGCCTTGGAGAAACCATGCACAAAGTCTACAAATCAATGAAGCAGACAGTTTTACCTAATTGCATACCTGAAAGTATAAAGTGTGTACATGTATGTCTGTCTTTGCTTGAGTTAAGTAAATTGACATCTATTCAAATTGACTTTGTGTACACAGAGCTGGAACTTTACTCAGCTAATCCAGCTTAGTGATCTCTCTTCATACACAGTCAGAAGATGGCATTGCCTTAATTGCATTTTCCACATTCTTATCCTGGTCACACTTGCAAAGTGCACTTTACAGGAATAACTTTTAATATCCTCGGCCTGATTTTTGACAGTGCCCTAGCAACACTGTAGACAAACACTGCTTGAATAGGCATAATGTGATCAACTAGGCTGGTCATCATTAAAATTGACCATAACATTCATGTTGGTAACAACACATGGTACATACGTGTACATGAACCAGTATGTGCAATGTACATTTTGCCTTCACTGTTATAACAGGCTAACTAAAAATGCAGCTTTCAGACCCTCATCTAGTATCTATACTGTACATGTACACACATGTGCATTACACTGATTTTCATTTTGAGATCATAGGAGATAACAAAAATGCTAAGTACAAATGTACATGTCCATGTACAGTATACCTATACCGCCTGTGTGACATACATGTAACTCTAAATGTAAATCCTTTGTGGACTCATCTCCAAGTATACCTTTCTGGTGATGACAGTGATGCAATCGGTTGCTAAGCAACACAAGAGTATGCTGTGCTCAGCTCAAGGCTTTGAAATGTTAGAACTGATTCAGGAAGACCTTGAAGGATACAATATTTGGCCAGTACAGAAAACGTAGTGATAGAAAAATTGTACATTACATGCTGTGTGAATTTAATGGACAGGACATGGACAAGTGAAGATATTATTATTATTATTGGATCAACGAAACAACTTTAGGCACTTTTTCATAGGTACATGTACATGTAAGAACTTTAACAAACCCGGGGATCCAAATACAATTACCCCCCGTCAAATGTTCTAACATTTCAGGTGCCAAGAGTATTGCAAAGAATTGTTTTATTATACGTTTTTAAATTTTATTTTTTTATTTCATAATTTTATAATTTTAACTTGCAATCTCTACTTCACAGAGCTAGTGCTCTAACGAAATCTACGACTGAAATCACTATTTTTATCAGTGATATTGACTGATACATGGTGCTAAAAAGTATACTCTTCATTGTAAGACTACCAGCAGTTTCCAACCTTAAGTAGGTTTGTTAGTTTTGGTTTTGTTTATTCAAGGTTAAGTATGGAGTCTACATATATCAGATGATAAATGCCTGTCCATTTGATGGAGCACCTGTGATGAAGCATTTTCACAATGGAAGGGAAATGTTCTTGAAATATGGCAGGTGATACATATACACCATACAACACAAAGAATGGAGGTTGAATTGTTAGAATCAGGAATCACTGACCTAATGGGCATGCAAAGCTTGACTCCTTCCCATTCATTGCTCATATCTTGGTAGTTTCAAATCATTTTCAATAATCTATTCAAATTAAGGTTTCGCTATGAAAACACACTTGCAACTAAAGAACACTTTCTGAAAAAAAGATGAAAATGTACATGTCTACATGCATATTCAATGTTGTCACTACTGAGGCAATTCTCACCATGCTGCGCTTGAGTAACAAAGTTTAACTGAATTTTGCTCCAGAGAGATCATGATGATTTGGTTGCTTGAATAGACTTGGTAAAAATAATTTCACCAAGATGTTGGCACTAGGTGGTGCAATTGATTTGGAAAAAATGGAATTTGATTTATCTGAAAAAGATGAGATTTTTGGCCAAATTATCGTATTCATGAAAATGCTGATGACGGATGTATACATATTTTGTTCAAAACCCCAAAGAAATAATTTATCGCTGAGTTTACATGCACATGTATTTACTCAGTGTATGCCCCCCCCCCCCGAAAATGTAGGGTCCATACATGTAAGGAAAGAAAGTGAGGATGAACCCCTGGTAATGCATACATGTGCTTGTCTAACTTACTAGAAAAAGAGCTCAAATAATCAAAAACTGACTTTGTCAAAATAATCCAAGGAACCTACATGTACCCGTATGTGGACAGTAAATCAATGTAATTTTAAAAAAATTGATGCTACAAAGCGTAGGCAGTGTATTGAACTTGTCAGATTGAATTACAGCATTATTTGGAAAACAGCTCTCCTGCCAGTGTCAAATAACTCTGAAAATATTTCAGTATATCCGACTGAAAAAGAAATAAAAATTTAATCATTAACATCCAATAGGCGTGTGATAAAAATGTCCATACTTTATACAAATATGAAGAAATGTATAGAAATATTTGGGCAAGTCCAGCAAATGTACGCCAGTGCCAAAAGTAACAGATGCTTCAGGGAAATGCACCAATGAGTCAACTTATGATAGAAATCTGGATAAATAGGAAAATGATAATACTGCCACCGTATTTTAAAAATACGCCACAGCAAAGTGCATACAGGAAAACCAAATTTTATAATGAGAGCGAGCATGATGGGATTTTGTACATTACAGCAAGCACACATGTAATACAATCTCTGAGGCATACATGTACAATGTGTGTGTTTTGTTTTTCGTTGTTTTGCTCTCTGAATGTGATTAATGTAACACATGTTCAGGTACATACACTGTACATGTAAATGTACGCCATGTACCATAGATATCACTTATACAAGCCGTTTGTTTAATTCACAATGGCCTTACATGTACATGTAGCGGTAGGTACTGAAGTGCTCCCAGCTGCATTGATGTTTTGACAAGGATATTCCTAAACACACAATTATGGCACAGCTAAAAGTAGACATTGGTATAACCTTACAATCTTAGTGTGCAATGTAACTGCAGTTCTAATAATTGTACATGTGCTCTGTACATCACTAAACCTTGTACATCTTAAATGTACGTATTGCAAGCCAGGTCTGCATGCAGTTCATCAAGAAAATGCAATCTAGTAGGAAGCAAACTTAACAGCTCTCATTTATTAACCAGCAGCCTAGTTCTCTCAAGCTGACCTCATTATACTGAGACACGCTCCAGGAAGACATCTTGGACTTTGTGCTGTGTCATTTTCCCCCTTGTCTCTAACTCTTTCAGCACTATAGGATACTTCTTTTAAAAATTCCTCCGTCGGTATGATAGGAGGAACAAAGTTGGGAAGATGGTTTCCAAGGTAAAGGCATAGTACATAAAAACTGTAAATTATGACTTATCACTATATTTTCTGGAGCAAGGATAAGACACAGAACAAGTGGGATGGGACAGCCCTATTATCTATTAAAGATTTGGCTTTCAGCCTTCAGTGACAGACACTTGGCCAAGAAGTGCATATAACCTAAAATTTGTTTACTTATTGTACAGTTGGTTTGCTATTTCATTCATATCAGCTTGCTTCCCCACAAAAAATGAAGTCTAAAAGTACACCTGTTGATAAAGTTGGCCAAACTGTAACGAGATAGACTGCTTCAGAGATAGGTTATTTCACACCTGTAGTTCAAGGAGAAAAAGATCACATACATTCATGTAAAAAAAAAAAACTATTGAGTACCATGGAGCTTGCTGAAATGTCCAGATTTGCTTTTTGTGACAGAGTTCCCAATTTCTGCAGTCCAATGACTGCACACTGGCCTGTCAATATTCTATCTTCATGATTAAACACACTCTCTCCCAAGGCGGAGACGACCTTAATTTCTCTTGTGGAAGGAAAGGTACACGGACAGGCATACAGCACCTGGCATGTGCAATCTGTAATGTCGAAAGCAGCAAGTACGTGTATAACATAAAACTTGTTGCCACCAAAAAAAGTTGATACAATGAATTACAAATATTGACAAACACATAACTAAGGTTAGATCCATCTTTCATACCACTTTCTTTTAAAAAAAGAAAAGAAATTATTTGACATAAAGTAAAACTAAGTTTTTGATTTCCATTAGCTGAGAAAATTGGTCACATTTGCTATGAATACGTATTACTTTACATGTACTCTGTACTTTAAAAAAAGGGCATTTCAGTTACAATTGTTTGTTGTCTGTTCTCCAAAAACAGCAGACTTCAGAATTTCTTGCAATACTGTTGGAAAAACAGCCATTAGTAAAAAGATGAAATTTGTACCCACATAGAGAGAACGGTTGACAGAATTCTCGCAGCCTCCTCACCATCCTGCGGCAAAGCATGGGTTGGGGTTCTCTGCCCAGCTTTACTGGGACGTGATGATGAAACCCGTCTTGGCAAGGGAGCCGACTGGGTGATGCTTATTGCTGAACCAACAGAGGAGTTGGCAGAGGTCTTACGGACCTGGGTCAAGCGTGGATTGGCAGAGCGAACCCTGGTGATACCACGAGAGGGTGGCATTTTGGGTGGCGCTTGGATGACAATGCTAGGCGGTGGTGATTTACACAGTTGTGGAGGTTGGAAGGATAGCATGAATTCAACTTATTAAAACTCAAATCAGACAAGTCATTGTGGAGACTAATAAATCAACATCCTGTTTGAAACAACTTGTGGCTCCTGCTGATTACTTCGAGAGAATCAAAGAGTTCTACCATGACAAAAAATCATCAAAACTAATACATGCAAAATAATCCCTTTGAGTAGTTCCTGCACTGATGACAAATAGTCCAATTTTCTCTTTCTTTCCAACACAGGAGAAAATGTAACAGATGGCTGTTCCTTTAGATACATATGTGTATATGTACCGGTACATTAACACTTACAAAAGACCCTATGTCAACTGACAGATATTCCACACTCTCAAAGCATGTTAAAAAGTAGCATATATGCAAAGTCCATCAACACACGCGTATAAAATGAAGATTGGTGTGCCTTCTACATTAGTGCATTAAAATCCCAGTTGATGTTTAAACACGAATTGGTCTGTTTTCCAGGCTCACTGATAAGGTGGTGAAATGCAGATGGTTATCCTTGGCAAGAGTTCACAAATGCTGATAAAAACACTTCTGACGCTGAAGTCCCCAAGAACAGGTTGCTGCTGTGTGAATTGAAATTCCGCATCAGAATAAGATTCATTCACTCTGTCACTGTCATTACTTTCAGGAGAGAGGGGATCAGCATAGGTCATGTGACCTGACCTCATCTGTTTTCCTGAAAACTGCCTGCAAGGCATGATGGGATGGTAATAGAAAAAACATTCATCTGCTGGTGCATTTTACAGAAGTTTAACCTCAGCAACTGTAACCTGAATGAAATAAGCAATAAAATGGGTTTGAAAAGGAATTCACATAAGTCTGCATGCAGTGGATGGCTGTTCACAGTAAAAAGCCGTATTCAAAATGTTAAAATTTCCAGAAAGCCATGAAAACAAAGGCAGGTCTCCACTATGAAACAAATGAAATTTGGCATCCAGTCACACTGCAGAATGTTCTGTCAATCCATGAAGTCATCTCTTCATCCAGTCACCACTGTCAATGTGCAATTTATCCACAATGATCATGCAGAGTTTCCTCAAGTGTAGATGCATACAAACCCTCAGCACGTACACAAAATCCTCTCCAACCAAAAATCTGTGTCATGTGCCTCAATTTTGCACAGTAGTCTTAAAGAAGCTGAACCTGGATTTTCCAACACCACCATCCCATCATAAAGTGCAGGTCACAATCAGCATGCGTCTCCTTAAGTGTACCTGTACGATGATGCCCTGTCTCCTTTACTGGCATACCATCCATCTCATCATCCCTGTGATGCATTCTCCTTCCAATGGCATGTCAAGGAATAAACAAGGTCTTTTAGGCTCTGCTCATGCACATGTACGTGCCTCAGTGGAGGCAACTTCACTAAGCAGTAGTCAATACACGTGTTCACTCATCCTACATTATATACAGCATGAGTGTCAGGACAGTTACTGAAGCATCTGATGCCGCCGGAGGAATTTTATTTCTCAACCATTTATGACCTGTTCACCAAGCTAGAATCTCTCTCACTGGCTGATCTCAGTGTTACATTTCCTTGATTTCCTCCACTCCTTCTTGAAGTAGCATATCTTTCCGGCTACAACTCCTGATACTCTGAGAACCACACAGCTTTATACCAAAAGCTCAGCTCCAGTGTACAGTGGCATGTATGGGTTTTCTTGAAGCGGACTGCACTAATTTTTGATGAATTCCACTTCAGCAGCTGTTGACAACACCAATCTCACCAAAAGCAGCCCAGAAAATAAATGATAAGATATCCAAGGCAACTTGTTAGAGGCTTGCAATACGTGCAATCTGTCAGTACATGAAGAAGCTAATTACATACTTAACAGCTCCACCTTCCCCTCTGCTTCTCATCAATCAAAGGAAATTCCAACTTTTTTTCTCTCTGATCTCATTACTGGAGTTAACAGCAATGTCACTATCCCTCAGCAACCCTTTCAATATCAATGAGATGTTGCTGCACGGATACAAGCAAGCAGTAGTAATCATCTACATGCATGTACATGAAGCATCAAGATGAATACTCCAGCATTTATTCAATTTCAGGAAGTCTGTGACCACGCATTAATGCAGGGTGCTAAGTTTCCATGGCAACCATTTCTGAGCTATTGCAAGGGAAAGCAATGATTCAGTTGTTGCCTGTTCAAGTCATGAAATTGCTGGGTTTCAGCAGTTGCAGTGGTGAAGCATCTCACGGTGAGAATTTCATCAATTTGCCAAACATCATCTCACATTGCACGATGGCAAACCCTTGGCACTCTAATAAAGCCCTGCATGGAAATACAACTTCTGCCTTACAGTGGTCCAATCAGCTGGCCTTCTGTCAAAACAACCCTGTTGTATGGTATGTTCAGTTAGGTAACACAGGCCTATTGGTTGCACTAAACTATTCAGATGACCTAGATTCTGGGCTTTCACTCTCCAATCCATGTATGGGCATATACAAAGGTTTCTTTACTGCAACTTCTCATTGCGTATGAAATATCAGCCCACACTATGATTATCAATGGTAACAGCTGTTCAAGACTATCACAGCTTATTCCTATAACCCCCCTCCCTTGGCCTTAATTAGTTCCAGACAGACTTCGCTCAAGGCTTAATGAAATATGACTCCAGCTGTTTAGAAATTTATCATACAGGTTCATGTATGGTACATTCTTGATCAAAGGGAACTACATGCACACTGTCAGATCGCACCATACATGTAAATAGCAGACTGTACGATCTAAAAAAATATTGGTAAATTTACATGAAGCCAATTAAGGCTTACAGACAGTTTCCATCTTTCTGTGTTTAATTCAATGATAAGACAATCTTATAGGATTCTGCATTTTCCACTTGACTGACAAAATTTCTCTGTTGTCTTAAATGGGTGGGGTCAGGGTGTTGTGGGTGGTTTGGAACATAACGCTACATTTGACTCAAGATTGACAATTTAGAGAAAATGACCATTCCAGACAAGTCTGATATTTTCCATTCGCTACCGGTAGTACTGCATAATTCAAATTACCCGGTACCATGAACTTCACGACTGAGCACTGAACTTCATGTACAAATGCCATTATTTAATCATTCATAGGTTTCCATGGAAATAAATGTTGGTAGAAGCATATAACTCAATATTTGCTATGATTCTTTTGCATCAATTTGTGCCTTACTCTCAAGCTGCAGCTTGACAGTAGCCTAGTTGCCATAGCAGCACCTCATCCAATTTGTTTCGCCTCATCGAACACAGTGTCATATACCCAGTATCCACTGTAATATAGATAAGCATAAGCTCAAAAGAAAAATTACAGCAGGAAACACTGTGTCTGTTACAAGACAATCAATAGAAGTGATCGACTGCTCTTGGGTTTTTTACAAAGATCTCAGGATGGAGGCGAGAATTGTATCTTTATGTCATCTACTGAGTTCAGGCATTAGCAGTTGCCTATACCAGTGCTGGTAGCTGATGAATCCATTAGTGGTCTTTTAACAATGCTTTTGGAAAAAGAGACAAAAAGTACCGAACAAAGCACAAAGCCTCTCTGTATCATCAATTTGTTTCTGGCACCACAAAAGATTTTGCTAACTTTTTCAGTGAGACATCTTTTTTTCCAACTGTACTGTAATGTGGACAGCAAGATAAATGAATCGAGAATGAGACTTAATGATGTCCTTTTTCATGTAACAGTATCACATCATTAGTCACTGTTTCAAAATGTACTCAAATTTCGGCTGGCAGAATGACAAATGCTACATCAGTATATGTCACACATATGTGCATTAATTGATCTGCTAAGGAAAAACATTGGCTAAGAGCCATTTAAAAATTCATATTGCCTGGCAATCGCAGAAAATGCAGCAATTATGTTCACATACTGGTATCCATATATGTACACATATGGGTTCATAATGAAAGCTGAACAGCTCTGCTGTTGCTCAAGCTAAACCAAGGAGATGCCATTACTACAGGACTACCCACCCCCAAAAGGGGGTCCATAACTGAGTACACGCATGCACTTTGGCAACTCATGACATCCTATCCATCGGAGAGGAATGCAAGTACACATGCATTGTACGTACATGTACATGTATCACCCACTGATATGTGAAAAGGATGGTATGGTTGAAAAAGCTTCTAATTACAGATATCATAGTAGTCTACCACCAAAATTTGCAGAGCTAAGCACAAAATAATGCTGAGTATCTACATGTACATGTACATGTACAAGCTACATGTAAGACAAAAAAACAAGATGTATAACTACATGTATTCAACAGTAACACATGTTAAAACACATCTTAGCTGGTATCCTCAAATCACATCTTTATGTGAACACCCATTTACTGAAAAGGTAATGGGCCCCCTCCCATCTCATCTTATATTCTTTGCCCCTGGGAACACCAATTACTCTGAGCACTGCAAGGATTTAGTTTCTTAAGCCAAGGATTGAAAGGAGTCAAGGGTCAGGATTCAGGTTGCCTAGCAACAAGCAAACACTGTATAAATGTTGTGGCTCCTTGCTGATGAAGACAGGAGTTCTCTTCCTGCCCGTTCTAAAGACATCGAAGGAATCTTGTACAGATGCAAGTACATGTACATACACAAATATGTACAAGTGTTCTACAGAGTGTTAAGAGGAAACAAGGTTCCTTGAAAGGCCACTGTTTGAATGTTTACATGTAAGTTGGTTTTCACAGGTTTTGTCCAAAATGAAATGACCATAAAGTTACATGTACAGTATACATGTAAAACTACTAGTGGGGTGTTCAGTGAGAAAATGCTTTTAGACAAATAAAAAACCATGTATATAAACCTTAACACAACATTAACTCAAGCAACGTAAAATGTCTCATGTACACATGTACAGTATTCTGCATAACAGAGACTGTACAAGGCAACGAACATGGATAATTCCTGTCATCACACTACACCTGTGTAGCTCAAAAGTTATCTTTACAATGTAAGAAGCCCATGGGTTATCCCTCCTCCAAGACACTGCTCAATTGCCAATGAAACATGCTTGTCATCTCAGGAATGCTGATGATATGTTGTGCACCTCCAACACACACAATGTAAGCATCATAGTGTACAATAATACAAACTTGAATATATTCATTTGTGACTACACAAATTAATGACTATACAGTAGTTTTAGAATTTCTTTTTTATTTAAATCTATTTCTAAAGATGGATTTAATTACGTATTAAATTATTTAAACTTCTTGGTGGGTACATGTACATCTCTCTTTTTATGTACCAGAATTTTTTTATTAGGGACATAAAGTGCACCAATACCAGTAGCAACCAAAAAAGTGACATGTTAAGTTTGATGTTTGATTCCTAACAAAACATGATTTAAACAACATTTTATAAGTTGAGTCTTGGAAAAGGTTCTTGTGATCAAGAAAATGAGGAGTAAGCCCATACATCTATCTTATCTCAGTATGGATGGAGTGCAGTGTACCGGTAGATGTCATTTCCAAGACGAGGCACTCAACGTAACAACCTACATGTAAAGCTTGAAAATAACCATGACACCAAATTCCCCAGTGTAGCTAACTCAGTTTCCCCCGACTTAAAGAGGAAAATAATCAAGATCCCAAACCTTTTAAAAACCCAATATTTGCAGACCATCAGTTAATAACATTGGCATTGTCACAGGCACACACAGGATGGCAATATGAAACGGTTAATTACACGAGGCAACGTGTTTACTCATACCGACTTCCAGGGCTCAGATGCACACAATACGTCATGGCAACAGAAACCTGGTTGCCTGGCAACCAATCAATATTGTGAATAATGAAAAGGACAAAATTATAGAGATGGACGAACTGCATGAGGATAACAATGCCACAGGCTAAGCTAAGGAATTATTGATGCTTGCAATATGGATAGCATCGTTTACTCAGTGGAACATGCAATGTTTATGTGGGATGTTACATTAGACTCGACACCATTATGTGCACTTCTAGTAATTTAAAACCAAATGTTTTCAGGTACAGTCATGAGACAATTCTGCTTGAAGAAGACACCACGAGTTATCAACTTTGACATTTGCAGTGTGTATGGCAGAAGTTACCAGTATTTCCATGGAATAATCATTTAAAATATCACAACTTTTGGTAAATTCAACCTACTGGTACCTGTGTATGTAACCTCCCCCATCCCATTCCCTGAGGGAAAAGGGTTGTGAAAACATCCAAATACCGTCTTCTTTTGAGACAAAAAAAAATTTCCACTTATCCAGTATCTACATTGTACATACGCCCACTTTTAAGGATTATGGACATGTTTACAACTCATAAAATCTAAAAGCTGCTATACAGTGTATATGCAAACACTTCCAACTCCTTCAATTGAAACAAATGGAGTTGTAAAGATTCAATCTAATTCCTTGAGATGTTATGTAGTTATCAAATTTGCTGAAGAATGAAAACAACATAAAAAAGTCATTTCCTTTGCCTGTTCACAATGGAATAGCCTCATTTAATATTTCTTAACTTTTATTGCTGGCACAAGTCCAACACTAGAGGGCTCCCATCACAATAAAGAAATCCAATTTTGCCGTAAAGTATAAATTTGTATAAAATAAAAGGTTCACTTTTCAGAACACTAGAGGGGGTAGATCATCACACCATAAAAGTGATGAAATTTTTGAGAAACCACAACATTTTCAGTGAACACTTCATTAAAATTGCCAATTAGACTACACTGTACACACAACGCCAAACATTTCGCACATCTTCATGCACTGTCAGTGTTAGCCGACACTCTGACCATGTCAAGAATGCAACACACCTTTGAAAATTCATGCTAAAGACAACAATTCTGAGAAGAAATCTAAATGAAGTGTGTGTGATTTAGGCTCTTCTGCACCTGAATATCCTAAAACAAAAAAGTTAGTTGTTATGCCAAATCAAGTTGACAATTCTGTTTAGCTTAATCTTAGACTGGGTGAGGTAAGCTGTCTCAAGGATGTCTTTCCTTCTTCCTCTTCAACAGAAGCTAATGGTTAATACATGTACATGTCCATACTAGACAGTTATGGCATCAAGGACAGAGATAATCCTAATGCAAGAGAGCAAACTACTGAATGTGAGATAAAATATATTTCAAGGACTTTTAAAGCTGTTTTCTCACAAAAACCTGGGCAGCTTTGCTGAAGGAGAAACTCTACGGTTGAGCTGTACATGTAGGTTCCGGATTCGTTCTAAACATTTTGGTTTATTGTCTGAAAGTTTCCAAATTTGGAGGTGGCAACTTAGAGCCTGCATTTAATTTTTCTTTTTGACCATACCAACCAACACATTCAGGAACAATGACTTCATACGTACTGAATTTAAACCACTCAGGTTGCTGGAGGGAAAGTGAGGAACACAATGAACCACTCTCACTGGTCTTAAACTATGAACAGAAGACAATGTCCTGCAAACAGTGTTTCAAATACAATGTCTCAAATCACTGAAAAATCTTTTTAGATATCACTGGCCCAACTTTTGATGTAGGCACATCCCGCTCTCTGGTAATCAAAGACCTTCCTCTTTTCAAGAATGTCAACCAAAGTTT